AACCTCATCTGAGGCAAAAAAAAAAAAAAAGATGAATGCAGAAATTATCAAACATGTGGCATTTCCTTCCAAACAAGTGCCCATTACTACTAATGTGTCGTTAGAAAAGTACTGCAACTTCCACTTTAAGACCCTTGCACTTCAAAAACCATCCGTTTGCTCAACATTGCTAATTATTAGAGAAATGCAAATTTCCTTCCTTCCTTTAAGAGCACACTCATCTACAGCAGATGGCTTGGTGAGCAAGTTATTCTGCCTGCTATAGGCATAAGGACAGCATGGGCTTATTAAAGCTCCTTTGTAACCTGTAATCCACTGTAGAAAATGATGTTATGACCTTCATCCTATCTAACCCCTTGTTAAAAAGCTGGTAACGAACAGAGAAAGTGAAAATCACAAATTGCTTCGCCTCCAACACACTGTCTCAAATCAGCACGGAGTATGATTTCAGGGGAAATATCTTCAGCAATCCTTTGACTCTCTAAGTTAGGTGTACACTTGGGTGATACAGGCAATTGAGAAACTGAAAACACAGCCAACTTCTGGGAGCCTGAAAGCTTGAGTTTAAATGATGCAACACCGCCACCTAGAGGTCAAGCAATGAGGAACTGGACACTGCAGCCAAACCCGGTGAAAAGCTTGACAAGCTTACTACCCAGCCAGGAAAAGCACCATTGCCTTCACATCAAAGCTGCAATGAGAGACATTCAAATGAGTCTGGGTTTCCCTCAACATATGGGATATTGGAGAAATTCTACAGAGTATAAAATATGCTTCCCCCATCACTACCTACAAAGACAGGTGCTGAACAAGTAACCAAAAAACGGGGCAGAGAACAAACCCACCCATGTCAATGCCTGTTTCCCCATCTGCAAATAGAACTAGCAGACCTACCTCACCAGGTACTATGAAGATTACATGAGGTAATACACAGAAAAAACACCTGAAATAAGCAGTAGTTGCTGCCCCTTCATGTCCCTCCCTCCATGCTCTTTATGGCTAAACTCTCAGCTCCATACCACCAGTTCAAGCACTACTAATGGAAATACACTCCAGCTTTGCCCAGCTGCCGCCTACAGTCCCTTCAAGAGATTTTGTAGAAGATAGGACATTTAAGCTGACCTTGGTAGGATGAACAGAATTTCTATAAGCCAAGGGAAGCAGATTCCGAGCTGAAGGAACAGCAGGAACTACTAATTTCAATTATGAAAATATACAAGATACACTCATCACCAGCTCACTACAGGTTATATTAAGCCACTTGGAAAATGGAATAAAAATCGTATTTCCAATCCCACTGAAAACCTACTAGTAAAGTGTCCTTCCGTTTATTTATTTAATGTGCCGTCACGCCCTTCTGTTTGCGGGCCAGTGAACTATATAGCCCGCCAGTCTCCTCTGTCCATGGGATTCTCCAGGCAAGAATACCAGAGTGGGTGGCCATTTCCTCCTCCAGGGGGTCTTCCCAACCCAGGCATTAAACCCAAGTCTCCTGGACTGGCAGGCAGGTTCTTTACCACTGAGCTACCTGTGAAGCCCATGCTCTCGAAAAGACATTTCTTAAAACAATCAAACTTAGGAACATGAGCTATAAACAAAGGTAATCAGACTTCTTTACTGCAGGTCTTCTTAAAGAATTTGGTATTTTACTGTACATAGTAAATCTCCAAGAACTACAGAATGCTGTTTCCAAACTTTACAGAACTTGTTTTCTGCACAACTTTCCATGAGCAAACCCTCCCTCCCTATGAAGGAAGTGAGGTAAAGTGGCGGTTGAAGGATGCAGGTTCTTGAATCAAACTGCATGGATTTCAATTCTAGCTCCACCATTACGCCTCCACAGGCCTGTTTCCCCATCTGCAAATAGAACTAGCGGACCTACCTCACCAGGTACTATGAAGATTACATGAAGTAATACACAGAGAAAACACCTGAAATAAGCAGTAATTGCTGCCCCTTCACGTCCCTCCCTCCATGCTCTTTATGGCTAGACTCTCAGCTCCATACCACCAGTTCAAGCTCTACTAATGGAAATACACTCCAGCTTTGCCCAGCTGCTGCCTACAGTCCCTTGGAAGACTGTGCTCCTTCAAAGTCTCTGAGGGATAAAAGGCGAGAATTTCAAGTTACTTTGATAGCTTAGATGAAAAATAACGAATTCACTAATTAACCTCTTCTGAATATAACTCCAAGAGCTTCAGCATTTGCAAAACAAAACAGGACTAATACAGAACCTTAACAAAGCCCACGAATCACACACATTAAGCTTGTGACAATCATAATTTTATCTTTCAAGTCATGTTTCTGTGTGTATACACAGAATCCTAAAGGAAGTAAATATATACAATTCCTAATACCTTGAGCATTCGGTTATTGAGACATTACATAAGTGTGTCTGTGTACACATACGCACTGTATGTATGTATGAATGTGTGTGAACAGGAAAGGCAGTGTTATGTGAAACAGTTCAAACACCCTGCTGCAAAAGATGATAAAGGTTTTCCACCATCTCTGCCAGCTCTCTGAGGTAGCCTGGTACATATAAACATCCATGGAGATGCAAAACATTTCAGGCAAATCCTTAAGTTTTCTGACTTTCGTTTCCTTTTTCCTGAGTCTGTTTCACCATTTTCCACTTGTTCTCTTTATCACTCCCTGAATTTATAACTTCCCACAGTAGTAGAAAAAAAGTATTTTATGGGCACCCCTGTCCCTCTTAAGGCATTATCTCCATTGCGTCAACAGGAGCCTGAGGCTGGAGATGCTGGCAGGCAGCACAGGGCTGCCAGGTCTGGAGCACAGGCACCCCTTCCTCATTAACTGCATCTATGAGCGAGCTGCCACCTGGTTTACCCCAACAGCACATTACACACCTGTTGCTCTGGTGTAGTTATTAACGACATCCCTTTCACCCTCAACAGTACCCTGGATTTAGAGTTTAAGTTACAATGTTCATCCCATCTATTACCCTAGACAGGGCTCTTCACTCCTCTGGATTTCAGTCTCCATAATTTGAAAATGGATATAGGATTAGATAGTACTTTATGGGGTTTTTTGTTGCTGTTTTAATCTGTTTTTGTGATTTCCATTTTTTTTAAATAGCCCAATCACAAAATTAAAGATCTTTCAACCTCTACCTACCTCCCTCCTAATATATATATTTTCCCCAACCAGTTGAGATCCAACCTAACTATATAAGCAGAACAGACATTTAAGGGTCAATAATGAGTATCTCAGAAACTGGAAGAAATGAAAATTCAACTGCAATCAATACATATTTTATATAATGTGTTCTACTTAACTCATTCCTTCACATGCTTCCTGGCTTAGATATCATACATCAATTATGAGAGGCCCTGGATAGTCCCCACCGTGAACCACAACCAAAAGACGCATTTTTACCTATGTTTAGATTTCCAAACAGAAATGGGCAAAAGAGAGATGTCTGGACACAAAGCATGAAATTCCTGCATCAGGAAGTCCTGAAACATACAGCATCTTAACCATATGAGGCAGCAAAAGAAGAAATGGACAATAAAATCAGAGTGGGACAAGCCAACATTTCATTGCCGCAACCCTCCATGTCTTATGCAAATAAAAAACTGATTCTGGAGTAAATACATTTATTGATACCCATTTTATATAGTTCAATGAAATAACCTATAAATATAAAAGCATTTTTCTTTTGGATATCACCATGGTCCATGTAAGTACTCAACAGTCAGAATCACCTGCAAGGAAGCACTCCAAGTCACAGAGTTAGGTTTACAGACCTGAATACACACATTTCATATAACAGTGGCACTTATGTACTCAAGTGGTCCAGTGGCTTTGGAATATATAACAACTGGGCATGTGGAGTAAAAGTAATGTATAAGTTTAAGTCAATGAAAAGGGTATCAACCTTCAACAAAAAAGACAACTATAAATCAATATCCTAGGTGAAGAAAGTACCACAGCTGACACTTGGTGTCAGAACACTGGAGATGAAGTATGTTTAACAACACATGTCAGGGTGTCATATGCTCTCTTCAACCCCCAATGGACAGTCCACCAGTGCCTTTGGGTCATTTAGGGTCAACAAAACAGCAATTCTTAAAAGAATCTCAACAGTTTAGAATAAAAGGTATGTGGGGACTGGTATCAAGTTTAAAGAAAAATGAACTAAATATTTCAATGACACAAGTTTTTCTCCTAAGAGGAGGAAGAGATTGTGGGAAAAACAACTTTTTTAATTCCCTTTTTTTAAAAACAGTGATCAGAATCATTTATCAAATGTGAGGGAAGGAACCCAGGTATCTGGTATCCAAAACACAGGTGCAAAATTTTCTTGTCTCAAAGTTTGTTCTTCAACACTTCAGAGGGAACGAACACAGCATCCACTGTTGGAGACTTGCTCTTGACTTGATGCAGCACAAAATTTTCTCATTTCTTCAGAAACCAATACAGGAATGTCCTTTTTTGCTGTAGTCAGACCATGTGTCTTCTGAGTTAGCAAGCAAATGCATTTAGAAGGTCTGAGGTGTGCAAGGTCCAAAATTGAAATCTGAGAGGCAGTGTTAGAACTTAAGCGAGGCAGGATTTTTAGAGACTACTCAAATGAAAATCTAAGTGAGGCATATAAAAATTCAGTTCTTTCTATTATTTTCAACTGGTATTTGATGGCAACATTCCCTGCTAAGGACAGGTTAAGGGCTGTTATCTCCAGGTCCAAGACATCCCAACTACTTAAAGTAGGGCCCCCAAGAGGAGAAAGACACACACTTCTGTGGTCTCTGGAATTCTTTTTTGCCTTTTTTTTTTTTTTAAAGAAATAGTAGCTTCAGTTGCACACCACTGGCTGAAGGGGTTTTCATCCAAATGAGAAACTCTACCCCTTGTCTCTAGAGGGACAGGTACCAGGTTCCCATAAGCGGCAACTCCCATGTCCTGTAGCACGTGGCATCTGACCCTGGAGTGAAGAATAAGCTGGCACAGAGCCCCGATCGCTGGTGTCCAGGCTAGATGGCATTTCGTGGTGTGCCGTTGTGTGTCAACGCTTTCAGGCTGGGGGCACTGGTCTGGTGACTACAGCTCCTGTGAGAAGTCACACCCACCTCAAAAACCTCATGAATAGCTTTTCGGAAACAATGGAAGTTATAGTCTATTAAACCTGCAGGAGAGAAAAAGGGAGATCAGGCACCCTGAATGTCAACTATCTGCGAGGAAACATTTGGTGACGGAAAGAAATAATTGGTATGTATTTTAAAACATATATCCAATTGAGAAATTCTCTACAATGGAAGCATGATAAAGCATATGCCCAAGTTGTTAACACTGATTACCTCTGGGCCTGGGAATGAAGAGGGTAAATAAAAAAGCAATTAGGAAGACAAATTTGCTAAGAAAATTTACAATGAACTCTAAAGTGAAAGTAAAATACTTTCGATACATCAAGTTTTTCCTTTTACAAGTCTCTGGGGCAGGCAAAGAAAGGTGAAGGAAACAATTGGAACAATAGTTGGGCAAACTGCTCAGTAAAGCCATGGGGATGGGAGGTATCAGGAAGGCCCATAGGGCAGAGCCTCAGGAAGCCAGCTCCCCCACCTCAGAGGGGAGGGAGGGCAACTCTGTCCTTTTCTGCTTATGAACTGACTTCCAAATCAGATTTTAGTCAAAGGGTTCCTTGCAGGTACATATGGACATATGACCAATTCCGGCCACCAAGAAAAGTGCAAGTGTGTGAGACTTCCATGGAGCCTCCTTAAAAGGAAGACCTCCCTATTCCTCCCTCAATCCTCCTGAGTGCCCAGAATTTGGGGAAGATTGCTGGAGATCCAGAAGTCCTTTCACATCACGAGAAGAACCTGAAACTAGTAGCCAGTACTGAGAACAGCAGAGCTGAAAGAGAAGCACCTAGGTCCTCGAGCATACCGGGACAGAAAGACAACACACAAGAAACAAACCACAAGCATCTGAGGGTAAAGTGACTACAGACGGGGAAGAAGCCCAAAGGTAGGAGAGTCAAGTGCAAGGCAAAAGCAGCCAAGAAAACTTCAGGGCGGAGACAAGGCTCTGAGGATATGGGCAAGATTTAAATAGGCAGGACAGAGGAGCAAAACCATAAGAAAACAGCAGGAGTTTGCACTGAGAGAACACAGCACACAGGTGGAAGACAGGAAAGAAGCTGGTCTGACTGGAGATGGGAGTAGACAATTCTTGGGAGAAGTACTGGGAGTGGAGTCTGAAGAAGCAGGTCAGAGTCAAATTAAGGAGTTTTTCAGATTCAGAAAAAAATAGAAGGTTTTGATAACTTCAACTACATTAAAATTGAGTTCTCTGCAAATGGTAAAATTAAACTGACAATCAAGGAAACCTGAACAATGTGTGGATATGTGATGATGATATGAAATCACTGTTAATTTTTTTTAAACATCTATTAATCGTAATACTGTTATGCTTCAAAAAGAGCACTACTTCTTAGAGATAGCTGCTTAAATCTCTACAGACAAAATGATTTGATGTTAGAGATCTGCTTCAAAATAACCCAATAGGAGAAAGGTATAGAGATGAAATAAGAATGGCTATGATTTTGATAGCTGTTCAACCTGGGTGACAGAGAAGAAGGGCTTCATTACATTATTTTCTCTGTTTTATGTTTGACAGTTTCCACAACAAAGGATTTAAAAAAATGAAGATATACAGGAAATAAGACTGACCATGTGTTCATGACTCTAAAAGCAGAGACAGGTACATGGAATCACTGTGCTGCTCAACTTTTGTGTTTACTTGAAAATTTCCAGGAACCAAAATTTTTTTAAAATTTTTAAAGATTAGAATGGAGAAAAATAAAACACTCCTAATAAGAGGTACAAAAAAGATAAAAGTATAGGAACAAGTAAATTACTAGAGAAGAAGCCTAAACAGACATGAAAGAGCACCTGCAGTGAAAAAGACACTTGCTCTAACCAGTAATTAGAGAAATAAAAATGAGACCCAAATGAGACATCATTTCACACCTACCAGACTGACAACAACTGAACAACATTAAACATTAGCAAGGACATGAAGTGACAGAAACTCTCACAAAGCACTGTCTGGAGTGAAAAGGATAAAGCCACTTTGGAGAGCAATTTAATAATGCCTAATAAAACTGACATGAACTTGAGCAGGGGACATGAACTTGGGCAAACCTTGGGAGATGGTGAGGGACACAGAGGCCCAGGGGGCTGCAGTCCATGGGGTCACAAAGGTCAGACTAGGCAACTGAACAACAACAATGAAACTGAACACGTATGCCCTTCATAAACTCCACTCCTAAATACTTTCTGTAATAGAGAAATTCCCCGTACGTGCAAAGGCAAACTTGTTCACCAACATTTCTTGCAAAACTATTTGTAATCTTAAAAATCATCTAAACACACAGCAAAAAGAATATAAACTATGATATCGCACTCCACAGTGACAAAGAATGAACTGAAGCAACATGCCATTGATATGGATAAACCTCAAAACCAATCTTGAATGAAGAGAAACAAGAAAGTTGCAGAAGACTTACATTTTGATATGGTTTACACAAAGATACATAATATCCTATATAGTTTAAGGATAGATAAGAAGTGAAAGACTAATTCAGACACAGGAAAAAGAAAACGCTACATTCAACAGAGCACAAGTGAGGGTTTCAATGAGAAATACACAAAAGACAAATATGTATTGGTCACGTTTCAGATCTTAAGCTCAAGGGGAATATGTACATTTTTGTTTTATCAAAAAAACTTTGCATATCTAAAATATTTCATTAATATGAGCATCAGTGAAATAATATTAACTCATTCAATATTAATTAATATCACAAACCCAGACAGAAGAACAGGAACTTGTTTCAGTGAGTAACAGAGCTACTATAGATCCTTCAGTAGTTAAATAACATGATAAAAGGAATATCCTGAAAACTAGTCTGCCTTTAGAATAAAAGACGATACAGACTGAGCCCTCAATAAGTATGTTGAATGCAGCACCTTAGGCCTGGATGGGTGAGGACTTGAACTGGAGACACCAACAGTGGAAATGGATACGACACCCTAGAAAGTTCCACAAGAAACAGATGTTAAGATTTGGGGAAGATTCAACGAAAACCACAGAAAAGAATGGAAAAAGGAAAACAAAGAACATCCTCTGTGACATGCTGTACAAGGGCCTCAGAAGCAATTATCCACACGGTTACCAGACCGCACAGCTAAGCATGGACACCAGAAAAAGGCATAACTAGTAACAGAAGCAGAGTAGCCAGGAGAGTCATGAAAAAATGGGGAAAACATTCATCAGTGTTTGACACCATGGAAAGATAAATATTTAAGTGAAGATGCCTTACTAACAGTTTCAAACATGGGATGGAAACAGGCCCAAGTCAGAGCTGGAGAGGTGAATTTTTCAGTCAACTACACGGAGATTAACTGAAGCCAGAGATGTGATGTGCTGACCAGGAAAATAAGTGAAGAAGTGAGCCAGAAGCCCTGGCTCTGAAGGGCACTCAGAACTGAGAAAAGGGGAAATAAAGAGAAGAAACAGGTGGTCAGAGAAACAGACACACAGAAGAACCCAAAGAGCTCTGCTTTGGGAAAGCAGAGAGAAGAGAGCTGGAAGGACTGGATGATAGGGTCACATGCTTTGGAAGGCTGAAGAGGAAAGGCCACCAAATGTGGCAAGAAGGTGACCTGCTAACTTCTGAAACCACCTCAGCAGACTGGTTCAGGTGGAAGCCAAATACAGGCAGACACGTAACAGAAGGACGTGAAATCAGAGGCTGGAATAAAAAATGTGATTTCAAAATAAAAGACCAAAAGAAGGCGGGAAAAAGCAGGGACTGTACATGGAGGGAAAGGCACAAAAGTAGTTGAAAACGTCATGAAAGTGAAAGTGTCACTCAGTCATGTCCAATTCTTTGTGACCCCACAGACTGCAGCACTCAAGGCTCCTCTGTCCATGGAATTCTCCAAGCAAGAATACTAGAGTGCGTCGCCATGCCCTTTTCCAGGGTATCAAACTAACTGGTAAATCCTCTAACACTGCAACAATGTTTTCTCTTGCTTTCCAGAACCTAAGAAATTATGACAAAGACCTTGATATAAAGATGGTTTTTAAAATGTCATTACCTTTTCTTTCAAAACTTTCTTCCCTAAGGATGCAAACCAGTGCCAAAAATTTAGTCACCTCCTTTAAATACAGGACAGTTGTGTTATTCAGCTTGATGATGGCCATGGACTCTTTGTCATAAGCACTTCCACTTCCATCTTCCTTTAACCTGTTTTAATACAAAGTATTGTTCATTATAGGTTTCCCAACTGGGCATTTTATCACATTTGCAGAAGGCTTTCTACCCAGTTTCCTAAATATCTTTTGAGAAAATATGCTGACTTGACCACAGTGGAACAGAAGCCGTGTTTAGCTGTGGGTGCCCAGCCCCTGCTGCATAATCATTCCATGTGCTCACACCACCTTGTTGACCTAGGATGCATGGAATGCAGCAGACTTCTAATTTTCCCTCACACTAATCAGTGCTGACACCCTTCACAAATAAAGAAGGACCTGAAATATGAAAACTGCCAGTAGTGAAAAAGGAGTAAGTACAATAACTAAAGTAAATATGGTCTATCAAAGATACTGTGGAATCCACATGCCTGCAAAGTGAGCCTTACAGGGTCTGAAAACTATTTCATTTATCAGATTAGACTGTCAGAATTACATGGAGTCCCCCTTCAAAAAAGAGCCAAGTAAACAACAAACTGAACTTCAATAAAGCATACCAAGTTTCACACACAGGTTAATAATAATGAAGTAATGGCTGTTTCTTTTCTTTTTTAAAATGTACTTTATCATGTGTAATGCAGTTTACAATGTGCCTTATACTGAAAATAAGATTTATAACTAAATTTGATTCTTTAATTATAAAGAATATATTCTACTCATCTATTTTTAAAATTAGGAATGGGAACATGAAACTTTTCTGCATGACCTACAGACAAAAATCACATTTTTGCTGGAGAAAGAATAAAAACAAAGGCAAGCATGTAATCACAAAACTGACAGGAATGGAAAACAAGAATAGACACGTAAAGAAGAGCTAAGACAAAAGCATTCTCCTACCCTGAGGCAGCTGGAGAATGATACTGACAAGTTAGGTAGAAAGACCAACATGCAGGGTAGGGACAGAGAGATCAAAGAGGAATTTAGACTAGGTGGAACACGGAGGAACAACAGATCAAGGACACAGGTATCAAAAAGCAAAGGTAATGTCAGAGCATCAGGACAGTGCTTGGGAGGGCTGACATTAACATACAAGATGAACCATCACTATTATAGGCTGCAGAGGTTACTGAATTTTGAAATAATTATTAGTAAATCCACCAAAGTTTTCACTTGTCTTCTGGACTATTCTACAAAACCATTTCTTTACAAGTTTCTGTATAAAATGTGGTGTATTTGCATAAAAGAGTTTATATTTTAGAGACTTCTTAGAAACGGAGATGTATAAGTCACACATTCCTTGTTACTGTACTCTCTGAAAGATTAAGGACTCCTCAGTTCCACAGAGCCTGAAATCAAACTAGGAACCAGTACATACTCGTGTTATTCAGTGTTTTAAATAAATTAGTCTAGTTTATTGATCTAACAGTAGTGAAAAGTCACAGGAGTAAGAAGACACAGTACAAACCCCCCAAATTAAAGCGGATGAAACTTTCACTGATAATTAAGTCTGGCACTAGTCACATCTTTTCAACTGCTCTTGTCCATCCACTCGGAAAGAGTAAGACCCAGCAGTCCACTCACAGAGAAATTATGCTACAAACTGAAGCACTATGGTCAGAACAATTCTACTTCATACAGTACTTGCTAGATGCCTCAGAAATTAATCCCCCCAACAAGTCAAACTGGTGGTTTTCCACTTGTTTGAGATCTTACAAAAATATATACGAACATAACTTACCCATATATACAAGACACATCAATTACAACATCAATCATGTCACAGCAAAGTTCATATGACTGCATATCCACAGGAGAACTGTCTGTTGCAATGTAGATTTTGCTGACAACATCGAAGAGAAAAGCTTTTTCAATACCTGAATTCTTGAAAAAAACAAAATCAAGTGTTCATTTTTTAAAGAATCACAATTTGTAAACTTATCAAAGATCCTCAATCAATAACATCCAAGAGAATTTTTAACAATACAATCCAATACCAAAAATAAACAGTACTTGCTTATGAGACACTTCTCTTATCCAAAGGAGAAAAGTCAAATTGTTTCTCTGCTCTGATTTACTGACATAACAGCACACTCAAATTTGTTCTTCTTTCATCCTCTTTACTTAAATGAATTATTTTCTAAGAAACAAAAAAATCCTCCAAAAATCAAGCCATGCTATATTTTTGATAATCCTTTTCTTGACAATAATCAATCTCTGATTCAAAAGATCCTGCTACCAGAAAGGTTTGATGGCGCACTCAGCAATGTTTCACATCAACATCTAGCATAGTGCAAAAGCCCAAAGAGTCGGGATCACTACATATGGAGTCCTTCAAAGCAGTGTTTGGAAAACAGGATCGCTGAATGCTAAACTGATGGGAAGAATATCCTTTTTAATTAAGTTGAATCCTCAAAATAAGAAATGTGAAATATGACACTGAGATTACAGTTAACAAGGATCAGTTTTTCAATGTGACCTCCAATAAGGCAGAGATTAAACTAAGTCTAATTCCCAACACCCAGTATATCCCAGTTTCTACTCTTCCTTCAGGAAAAGAGATCACAAAGATATTTTTAATTAAGAAAAGCATGAAAAAATTTTCATCAGGGCCTTTTAAGACAAAAAAAGGTGAGTATTAAGGAAAATTTTAGACAATAACTCAAGCCATTTTTTTAAATGTTCCTATTATTTATTTAATATTTAACTGTATCATTAGTCTTTAAGCTTGACTCAGATTAATTCAAGGCATTTTTTGGAGAATTTGATAATACAAATATATTCAACAAAAACAGAACCAGAAACGACAGTGAATTAAATAGCACACTTACTGATATAAAGATATTTAATAGATTTTCCAAGGTTGGTAGCTGTGGGATAAGTTTCTGCACCACCTTACTAAAGGCTTCAAATATTGAATGGTCATAGATACTAGTCAAATAAAAGCTGAAAGACACAACAGAGTTTGATTAATTTGAAAAATATCTTAAGTCCAGCGACAATTATCACAATACATAAAATTTTAAGTTTCTTCACATTTGATTTCAGTAAGTTCAAATAAAGTCTATTTTGTGCACCATCTCCCTCACTCAAGATGACATATGCAATTTCCCCACCTGGCTTGTAGCTCTCCATCCCTTTAATACATTTACACAGAGGGCAACTGAGGTAGTGCTAAGAAAACATTTTCGGATGCAGAAACCTGAACATTCACCAAAGTCCTTGCAATCTGATCCAAAAAGCTTGGCTTCTTAAGCCCACAACTGACCAAAAAACAAAAGAAAGCTTAGAGGAGACAGGTGACATTTATTAAATAAGAATACAGTACAGGTTTCTACTAAAATGTTACCTCCTCAGAAAGTTCCTTCCTGACCCCACCTAAAATGGTACTCCTATACCATTTGCTTTCAACCTCTTCCCCCTTTGTTTTTCTGCATAGTACTGATGAGTACTTCAAATTACACTATATGTTTGTTTATGTGCTTTTGAGCTGTCTCATTCATCAGAATGTAAGCTCCATGAGAATAAAGGCTGTCAGCCTTGCTCACAGCTGCATGCCCACTGCCCTGTAGAGTATTCATGAATATTTGTTGAGTAAACAAATGAATAAAACTGGCACTTAGAATTTATGTAAATAACATGCTAAGGAAGATGAGAGCAGGAGCTCTAGAGAGAAGGGACAGCTATCTGGAGGCCTAAAAGTATACACAAAGAAGTAAATTTGTAGATTTAACAAAACACATACTTGAGAGAGGCTTTTAACAGTTTAAACAGTGTGGTCAATTATACTTGCTTTTCACTCAGGAAGTATACTTAGTTACACAGCTGTATCCATTATGTAATTATAAACACAGATAACAAAGTCAGAGACAGAACTGTTTATATCACACTTTTTACCATAATTCAAAGATACTTTCAAAGAGTACACCTAAGAAACTATCTTAGATGGGGCTCTAATCTAGATGTTAGAACAATGGAAGATTATCCCCCAACAGGCACTAAGGTAAAGGAATATTTTAGGTTAGCAATGTAAGAAGGTCCTGCAGGAACTGTGAGGTTTGGAGGTGGATGGGGACAGGAAAAACCTCCCAAGGTACAGGGCATTCTAGGAACCTGAGTTTCTGGAAACTGGAAATTAAAAGAACCTCATCCATAGGTCTGCTAGTAATTAATAAAAGTTTAATGCTGTTAACAAGGCCCTGGGCCCCACAGAGAACTGGAAAAAGGGATAGTATATACCACTGAGGTGGGTGCTCTGGAAAGGGACACGGACATGATGCTAAGAGGATCAGAAGGGTTCCTATGAATCCTAAGAACACAGGACAATCATAGCTTAAAATCCACCATTCATGGTAGAAAAATAAGACTGAGGAATTTTATTGGAAGATACTTTCACCTTCTACAACTACTGCTGTATTTTTTTAAAAGCATGAACTACTTGTACATATTTTAATCCAGGTTAAAGGTCAATGGGACTTTTCTATGTGGTTTCCTAGGAGAGTAACAAAAAGATCTTGCAGCGGGAGGCCCCAGGGAATATTAGGGTAGGGATGGGGGTTGGCTTGAGCCTAGAGGGAAGTCATTGTAACAGACCATGGATAAGGAAATAGCTACGGTTGTCTCTCCACTGCTTCCCCTTTAAGTTGTTTGTACCATCAAAAGAACATTTTCTTGGGTACTTTTTATTACTCATTTCTACCTAAACCATAAAAAAATAAGATGCAGGAAATAATTCTCACATATTTCTAAAATACAAGCACACAAACCATTGAGCTTATCTAGTAAGTGTTCTTTAATATTAATTTTGCAACGAGAATTACATATCAGCAGTTCTTTAACTTGATAGCAACCCTAAGCAGATTTCATGGATACAATTACTTCATCCAATTTTTAGAGGTTCATAAAAGCATAAAGTGTTTTAAAAAACAAACAAGAAACATTAGAATCCACACTTAAAATGTGCCCTCTTTAAAAGGCTCTTCCTACTGAGAGAGATACTGTGAAAGATCAAGCTACAGAGTCCTACAACAAATGTGAGATTCCTTGAACTGAGGCAAGGAAGGGGGGCGGGAAATGAAACCAAGAGAGGGGAATCCCAAAGTAGATTTAATGCTATGAGGAAACAGCCTGACTCCAGTCTTTTGAGATGAATTTGGAAACACACCTACAGAAACAGACCTTGCATGACTTCAACCTCTGGGAAAATGCAAAAAAAGCAGGGGAAGTAACTTCTCAATAACATCAGGCTCCCAAAACTGCTTCAATTCAACAGAGATCAAAAACATTACACATTTCGGAAGGGTATACCAGTAACAGAGAGCTACGTGTTTGTAATGACAGAGATGGGAATACATTTACACACTTTTCAGGGCTCCCATATCAAACACACAGGTTGTTACCTAAGGTGGAGTTTTTCTAGCCCAGCATCTGCAAGGTCATCATTGGCCCTTTGATGAATGTCCCTCTGTGTTTCTATTTTGTGATCATCAGACAGACCATCAACTTTGTGAATAAAAACCTCAAAATTCATGTCTGGGTTAACTTTGTAGGCTTTAGAAACAGTAATGTGAAGTCTTGTTAAAGCCTCCATGTAGTCATCCTGTAAGTCAGAACAAAATATTTTTTAAAAAGAAATCTTACGTTAGGAAAGCCTCAAACCACCTCTTTCCCCAACCACAGAGTATATATTACCCTATTCATTCATAAGTATTCAAAGAATTACATTAACTTATACCACTAAATAGATCTTCAATCTCTTGATAAAGAATTCAACTACCAAGTTAATGCTTGTAATTTTTAATTCTGATAAGAAAAGGAAATTGAAAATGGACACTTCTTCCCAATAAATTTTTTTTTAGGTAATCCCAGCTCTGCCATTTATTAGATGTGTGACTTTAAGTAGGTTGCTTAAATTCTGTGATCTCAGTTTACTCAGCCATTAAACTGTAATTACGATACCTACCTTACAACACTGTGAAGAAGAAATTAAATTAAGTCATATGTATGAACACACTCGTAACAGTCTGTACCTCAGAACTCATTCCTAGCTAATGCTTAAGCTTAGAAAAAATTAAGATTGTTAAGGATAGAGACACGTCCCATTTATCTGAGTGTCTCCCACATGCTAGGCCCTCAATAAGTGCTAGTTGAGCTAAACTGAATTTGGACAACTAAAGAAACTATTCATTTAATATTTACTGACTCAGTTCTCACATTCCTCATTACAGGCACTGATAAGACCTTTTCAGTGGGTGACAACACTACAACAGTTAATAAAAATATAGCAATATCTACTACTAACAAAGATGGAACACTGCTCATTAACTAGAACTCAGAAATATAAACCCTATCTCCTAGTCATCTCGTATTCTGTACTTGCAGAAAGGCATGCCTGCTCCTAAAGCACCTCTACAGGTACATCTCTCACAGTTAGGAAATCTAGTGGCAAAGAAACAAGCTGCAAGAAGCACATGACAAGAGAAACAACCACATGACAAGAGAAACAACCTTCCTTTGTTCCTACATCTTCTGCCATCAGAGAAGAAAAGTAAACATCATCATTTCCAACTACCTGTGCATCAATGACATATATCAACGCTCCTGTTCCCCTGAAGATCATCTCATAGTCAAAAGTTGGGTCAAAAAAGTCCATTTGCCCAGGAAAATCCCATATTTGGAAATTCACAAAGGAGCTATTAGAAATGTCATCTTTGTAAATCTTGTTGGTACTTTCCAAAAAGAGGGTCTCATTAGGTGACATTTTATGAAACACCACCTGTTAAAAGAAAAAAAGACAATTTAATGACTATTCACTTTTCATTTAAATTAAGTACAAAACTCCACCTGGAATTAACATAAAAAATTTGATCCTATAGCAAAAAGTTTAAAAGAGATGAGAAATGAATGGGGTATCCATTGGTATTCACTATCCTCTAACCTCTAACAGAACAGAAAACACCAAATTATTAAAACCAAATCACCCAAAAAAGCTAAAACTTTTCTATTTTGTTTGTATACAATACTAGCAGTAGCAATGTCTCTCCTCAGTTTTTTTTTCCTCCCCATTACATTGTATAAATTCTGCCAAAATCTGCTCTAAGATTATGAAAATGTATGCCTGAAATTTAAGAAGTTTTGTTCATTGAAAATTTATCAGAATGCCCACATCAGGTTCTAATGAATAGTCAGAAAAGAAACTGATTGGACCCTGTCCTTCATGGATTTGCAGTCTTGTGGAAGAAATAAAACAAAGGCAAATTATACCAAATAGGAAAAGGCATATTGGTAGAGAAGGAATATTTGTGAGGAAGGGACGAATGGGACCTGACAAGGAAAAGACAGCTCCCATGAGAAAAAAAATAAACGCAATTGTTAAGAATCACAATTATCACAATCCACACAATTTCAACACAGAACTAATTTCCCTCTATTTGCTGGATGAGAAAAATGGATAGTGACTCCTGAGGTTTAGACGGTGAGAAACAATGTAACAAATCAAAATCAGTTTGCTTAAAACCTGCCATCAATGTACTCAGATTTTGCTGTAATGGTGAAAAGATAAATAAAACACAGTAATCCCATAAATTTGGAAGACTACTTTTTAAAATCATCATGTCTACAGAATATCACGCAGAGATTTATTTTGGAGACCTTTGCCACAGAGTGAAAAGAGCAAAAGGCCAGGTATCTGGCATTTTATCGCCAGCTCACTTTGCGTTTAAGAGGATGGAGGTCGTCAACCATGCCTCTATTCCCCCTTACTAAAAAACCGAATAGCCCTCCATCCTTCCCTGCCACTTCCCAAGTGAAAGCACATGTACAAAGGTCTGTAAATACTCTCCAGGTCTCAAGACTTTTATAGCCACACACACACAGAGGGGAAATCACTACTAATTATACTCACCGGGCTAAAAGTACTAAAACAGGTGGAAGAACAGCCCCCCATTCCCACTAAGGAATGTCACAGTGAAGTCTCCTTCGTACTAGTAACAAGAACAGGCATTACAAAGGCCAAGGAGTTAGTCACAACTCTTTCTGACGCTGCTCCCTGGGGCTCACCTGGGAAGCCCGGCAAACTCAGGTCACCTGAAGTGAAAGGCACACACACAGCCGGGGTCGGGGAGAGAGTGTGGGAAAGTTCTCCCAGTTAGAACCGGGGAGCAAGTCTCAGTTTCGTGAATGGCACAGGGGCTGGGTCCCAGGAAGTGAGGTCCCAGGAGGTGAGGCCACGGGCACCTGCCTCGCTCCGGCCACTCGGAGAGCGCGGGGATCCACTCGGCCTCGGCTGACCTGGGCGTGGACTCCGAGATCGGGGTCCCGGCGCGACTGCGCCCGGGCTCTGCTACCCAGAGGAGAAGAGAAAGCGCGCTGGGACAACCCAGCCGGCCACCCCGGCCGCCGCCCTCCTCAGGGCCTCCCCTCCCGGCTGGCCCCCGGCGCCCCCGGGGAGGGGAGGGAGGGGGAGGGGCGGAGGGCCCGAACGGCCCCACTCACCTTCTGGATGGAGGACTTGCCGCTGCGCCGGAGGCCCATGAGCAGAATCCTCGGCTTGGAGCTGTCAGCGCCCCCCGGGCCACAGCCTCCTCCGGCCCCCGCCCCAACCCCGCCGCCCGCGGCTGCCGCCTCCTCTTCCTCCTCCTCCACGCCGTAGCCGAAATCCTTTGGGAAGGAATCCGCCGCGCCGTAACTGCCGGCGAGGGGCGTCTCCTCCGCCCCGTACGGCAGGGACATGGTGCTGGAGCCGCCGCCACCCGTGCCCTGACAGGCCAGGCCAGGCCAAGCCAGGCCGCCGCCTCCCCAGTTCGCCGCCGCCGCCGCCGCCCCCGGCAGCCGCCGCCGCCGCTGTGCGGCCCGCCCCCCGGCGCCCGGCTCTCATAGGCTCCCCGCCCAATCCCGGCCCCTCATTGGTCGCCTGAGCTGCCACTCGGGAGCAGCAAGGTAGGTGGTGCCCGTCACGTGCCCGGAATCACCTGACTCGGAGCCGTGGAGGGGGGAGGAGGAGTCACGAGGAGGGTGGCAGGGCCGAGCCCTCTGCCCTCAGCCCCAGCCCGCACTTCGGTCCGACCCAGCCACGCACATTGCTCCTCACCGTTCTCTTGCCTTCTTCGGGACTCCGGAGGCCAACGAAATGAGTGACGCTCTCTGGGCACTTGGGAGAATTGACTGTCCTCCTCCTCCTATTGTGCTTGCCCAACCAATACTTAATGCCCGCGAAGTCCTGGGGCACAAAACTGGAACTACCTTGGACCCTGCCTGCCCTCAAGTTGCCCCAAGGTTAATGGAGATCGGACCTCTGAGTAAGTAGCTTCTGTATGAGATAGGAAGTGGGAAGGTCAAAGGTGCAGATAAAAATGCTCGGCATGAGTGGGTGAGAGCATCTCTAAGGAGCTGGCGTCTTAACAGGTCTGGAAGGATGGCATTGGTTGGGATGTTCAAAGGTAGAAAGGAGGAGCTAGCCAGAGTGAGGGCAAAACCTCAAACAAGGCAGAGTCATCGGTGAGATAGTTTGTTCTAGCAGGTAGCTGGACCCTGATGGGAAAGCAAATGCTAGCAAGCTAGAATGTCTTAGACGCTTTTTTTTCCCAGCAAATCACGGACAATGAATACTGCTACTGTTCACACTCAGGATCCGACTCCCCCTCCTCCCCACCCGGTGTCTACTTCTTTAGTAATTCCATCACCTCGTGGAACATTGCATCCTGTGTGACCTCCTTCAGATCAGAGACCAAAGGAATGAATAATGAAAGCAGACCAGAACAAATGCTTGTTACCAAAAGATGGGAAAGCTAGAGGAATTTTCCTCCTCACAGGGCGGCTTTAGAATTGGAAATTTAACCAAAGAGGGCCCTCCTCTTAAAGTGGACATGGGTGGTGGTATTGATGTTTCAAGGAAACTTTTTTGACTATGAAGGGAAAGCAGGTGTGCAAATCTGGAAGTTGGTTTTGTCTGAATCTCGAAGTTAAAGGTAGGACATCCTTAGAGGTCATCTAGTGCAACTTCTCACCTAAAAAGAATCCACTGTAGAGTCTCTGACGCTGCATGAAAGACTTGCAGCGTACATTTCAGTAGAGCCCAGGGAAGACAGCGCACTGTCTCAATAGGCAAACAACTCCACTGTGGTAAAACTTGGCTTGAAAGTCTCTTATTCAGGCCAAAAATCACTCCTTGGAGCTTATACACCACAGGCTATTAGCAGTGGTCATCTTTTTTATGACAGCACCTCAGATATTGGATTACAGTCTTCATTACCCACTGTCTTCTCTGTTCCACATTAAACATACTTCAGCCAGGCCTTCTACAGTAGTTTCCAGTAGCACTTCGTGTGATGACAGAAATGTTCCACATCTATACTGCTCAACATAGTAGCCAGTGTGGATTGAGCACTTAAATTGCTGCTAGTGTGACTCGGGAACTAAATTTTTAATTTTACTTGCCAGATGCGGCTAGCGGCCACCATGTTGGACAATACAGCTTTGTGGTTTCAAATGTACTCTCCACATTTATATGCAATTGAGCTGTTTAACATCCATCAAATGTCTGACACCTACAACACAGTAAGGACCAACAGAGCCTTCAGGGTGACTGTTTAGCACCTGGACAGTATTTCCATTAATGCTTTCCAGAATGGAATTTTTAAAAAAATATACAGACTATAAGTGGTTCACACTAACAGTCACTGGAACCAGTACTTTGTCAGCGCTCCCTAAGTGCCTAAGCTTGTATAGCTGCATATTTAACCTAAACGTAACACTTGATATTTCAACTTTTTCGTTTAGGCTGTGAAGTTTAGGCACTCCCAAGTTGTGAATCATTTTCAAGCTCATCTCATATAGTCTACTCACCAGCCCTTCCAACTCTGTGGCAGTTAGAGAATTAGCATTACTACCATCTGACCCATATGTAGTCCTTTACAATTTGCAAGATACTTTTTACATCCATTACATTTAATTTGATCCTTATAACACGTTGTGAGATAGGCAAGATATGAAATCTACATTTTACAGATAAGGCAGCTGGAACAGCAGGCACTGAACAGATCGGATCCTTTTTTTTACTCCATTGAGCATCATGTATACTGTCTTCATCCAGATCCTTGATAGAAATGTTGAGGAGGACCTGCAGAGGCCAGGCTCACCCTGAATTCTTACATAGCACTGACTGATACAGCAGCGTCAGCATGTCAGTTCCCCCCAAAAGTCTGATTACCCAACCCACAGGTTGCCACTGCCATGGCACAGGAGACAATCACCTGATTTACATAAATATTAATACCAGTCTCATTAGGGAAGAAAGCAAATGAGGGTTGGCTGCCAGAAAAAAATTCTACTTGCCTGTCCACAAAGGGACTATCACACCAACTGCTTAAAGAAGCCATGTCTCCCTCTCTTCCAAAATCCCCCGAGGCCATGTTTTATTATTATTTATCATTCTTAGGACATCCTATCCCACATTGTGATTATATACATGTCTTATAGTTAACTTCAAGTCATTCATCTTTATAATACTCAGCCCACTGCTGTCACTGTAGGAGGCACTCCAACTGGTAAAAGATAAACCAATTCAAGTAAGTGTTCTTCCAGCCATATCTGACTCCCCTACAGAAACAAACTTGTGACTGGAAGAGACAGACCACTGCCACATTCCTGCCAATGTGACTGATTAAAATGCCCTTATAATTGGCTTGGTCACAGCTTCTAGCAGGTTGCTGAGGCTTTTGCTAGTTAAAAACCAGCTTTCACTGTATTATTTTGTCTGTGTGTTTTGACCAAAAAATAGACATTTCTATAACACTGGGGACAGAATACATGAAATAGGGCTACTTCTTAATAATGCTGGTCAATCAATAAGGAAAATAAGTGATGAGAAACACAAAAACATCTGACTGTAGGTCTTCCAAGAAAGGAAAAAGGACTAACAAACAAGAATATAGTGCTTTACCATTTACAAATCTTTCACATACATTCCATTTGACCCTCACAACAACCCTGTGAGGTAGGCAGCACAGATATTATTTTCATTTAACAGATGAGGAAAGTGAATCTTGGAGTAATTAACTAATGTGCCCAAGGTTCTACAATTGGTAAATAATTGGTATTTAATTGGTATCAGTCTTTGGCCTAAAGATTCAGCACCCCACCTCCCCTCACACTTGCCTACCTACTTCACAGGGATAATGAAGATAAAATGAATTCAAAGCTAGAAAAATACTTTGAGGGAAAAAAGCACTATATAATTATACACACAAACTATAATTTTCCACAATATATGGCTCATTCCCCTTGTCATCCAGGCTTGTGCGTGAACCCAGAATTTTATATTGCCTCTGTTCTGTGTTCCGCTAAGCAACTAAGGCAGGCAGGGGAACAGTGAGATTCTCTTTAAGTTTATATAAATTACAGTCAGGGCAACTGCTATTACAGGAAATTGAAAAACAACACAGAAAGGCCAATGTGCAACTGGGACCCAGGGAAGCACAGTAAAGCAAGGCAACATTATCAGATAGGGCATGATTGCATAGAAGGAAAGGTGGTGTCAGAGTTCACACTGGCACACACACAGTTATCTAAGGCAAAGTGGTGGCAAAGAGTCATTCGTTCCACCTAATATAAACAAGAGCAGAAGATTCATGAGACAGACCCCCATGAAATAGCCTCGTGTATCACACAGATCTCTCCAGCTGCCTACTGAGAATATAAAACGACAGTGTCATCTTCATTTTAGAGAATGACTGTACCTGTGCTCATAATCCTGAGCTAAACCAAGGAATAGCTCTGTGCTAAACTTCCTTGTCTAAAATACAACCAGTACCATCATTCCTAGTCAGACTGATAGAATGTCTTTTAAGATAATGAATCTGATGGCTGTGTTTATAGATTTTTTTTTTTCCTTTCAGGATTCACTTTTGATTCTCCTGCTTTTTTAAGACCCAAAGAAAGTTATACTGAGTTTTTATTGGTGATTCTAAGTATATGTGTTTATAACAGTTAACGTGTGATAGGTGAATTTAACATATTTAAAAGAGTGCTATAGCATCTGTTCGGAAAAGATTATATACTGTACAAACTATTCGAGTCATACAAAACCATTTTTTTCAGTGTCTTTTCAACTGAGATGAATCCTATTCAGCACGTTTCTCCTCCTGAGGTGGTTCATACTGAGCAAGCTATGGGGGCAAAGACAGAGGCGTTTAGGTGAATTTTATTCTAAATTGGGTAAAAAAGAAAACTTTTAACAGTAACAAAATGAGTCAACTACTTTGTTCAATGACTGAATCAGTTTATAAAATCCTAGCCTTTTTAAACCAGTGATTTTTTTAATATTTAATACAATCAAACCTAGTGAAAGTTTTTTTTGTATAAACCTTAAAAATTACTGGGAAACTAAAATTTAATTCTCATTCATGACTGCACTGCACAAACATCTGCTATGCAATAATCCATATCTTCCCAAAGATGTTGTGGCTTATATAGTAAAGGTATTTTCTTCCTCTCCACCATAAGTTTACTGGAAACTTTCTTCTAGAAAGTAGGAAAAAAATAAGCACGTGATATATATTAATCTAGCCAGTTAATGAAAAATCAGCTAATGTCTGACTGTAAAAGGTGCCAAAAAAGTTATCTAGCATTTATACACTGGAATCTTGGCTAATTTAAGATACTGAATGATCTTATACCGAACTGTGGTTTACTGCAAGAACACTGAGATATGAGTTGTTCCAATTAGCTGTCAGATTTGAGAAGCTAGACTTCACTGTGCTTTAGTTTCCTCACCTATAAAATGGTCTGTGTACCTGTGTCATTTATCTCACAAAGTTGTTGAGAAGATAAAATACATTATGAGAAATGCCTAGTCATGTGAAATGTGATTCAGAATGCGGTAAAACCTCAAAGGCTTATTGACTAAAAGTTTATGAAAATTCTCATGGGAGTTTAAACAAAGAAAAAACTTCAGCACTAGACAAAATTAAGTGCAAACAAATGTACAGACCTTAAGTGCAAACAAGTTTACAGTTAACACATTTCAGGGCCACCACATAACTATACAGATCATGCACGGCACAGTCTTAAGGGGTGCCATTCGCAAAGCAGTGGCCCCATACTGACCTACTTAACTGCCTAAGACTCCCAGAAATTTCCATTTACTTACAAACCAGTATTCTTCACCAGTATTTTCATCTTTTTGTTGATGAAGGTTCCCAAGAACCTCTTCTTGACCACACATTGCTCATCCTGTTTACAATTTGCTTGTGGTTTTCTAGACAGGGTATCAGCTTTTCCTTGCAGTTAGCTGAGATTGATATTCTCCCTCCTCCCTCCTCTACTGTCCATTTTAGTGAGGTTCTGATCATATCATTAAAGGTGAAATTATTTTTAACATGAATTCTTTCAAAAATTTTACCTTTGTTTTCAGTTTTTTATTTTCTTCTACAATAGCTTCATATTTCTCTTTCATTTCTGCCAATTCTAGGCGAAGCAGCTCTATTTCTGGATTTTCTGGGGTAGCAGCTCCTAAGTGATGCTTTAAAAAACTAATATAAAAGTTAAGGATTTACTTGAGCTCATTAAAACTAATGAAATAGCCCTCTATTGAAATAACTCTGATGAGAGTCATCCCAACCCTACCACCAATATTTACCCAGAGATCAAAATCCAAATACTCAAAGTAACTTTTTCAATAGAATAAAGGCCTTTTTCTGACTTGGAAAAATGAAAAGGATACTCCAAAGCACTATTAGGTTTCTCTGGTTCTTCATATAAGGCTACCAATACTGCAAATCAAAAAGCAGAAAAAAAAAAATTAAAGTCTTAAAATGGCCGAAATTATATGCCATACCTCAGTCAATATTAAGCATCTATTATACACCACACACATCACTAGGACATACCATGGTGAACAAGACAAGGTCCCTGTTCTCAACATATTTACAGTCTAGTGCAAAAGAGTATCAAGCATCAATAACGGTAATGGGAGCACATTGGAAGAACACCTAACTCAGCCCAGGGAAGGGAAATAAGACCTAAGACCTAGGCAATGAAGGTTTCAGATAAAAAGGGAAGGCCAAGGGCAAAAGAACAATGTATTCAGGAACTGAAAATTCAAGGGTGGCTAGATGGAGTTGTGAACTGAAAGGAAGCTGAAAAGGTGGTTAGGGAGGAGATTGGAGGATCCTGCAAGTTCACTCGGGCCTTTATCCTAAAAACAAAGTGGCATATAATTAAAACAGTTTTAAGCATCGGAGTGATGGGATCACTCTTGACTTCTGTGTGGAGTCAAGTAGGCTAACAAGTGGGACAATGATTTAAACGCAAGGAGAGCAATTATGGCTCAGTGGTACAGAATCGGCCTGTTAATGGAGATGGGGTTTAATCCCTGGGTGGGGAAGATCCCCTAGAAAAGGAAATGGCAACCAGTATTCTTGCCTGGAAAATCCCACAGACAGAGGAGCCTGGCGGGCTACAGTTCATAGGGTCGCAAGAGTCTCAGACACAACTTAGCAACTAAACAACAACATGCTAATCAGTTTAAAAAGAGAGTGACCAGGGAATTCCCTGACTGTCCAGTGGTTAGGACTCCAAGCTGTCACCACAGGGGGCATGGGCCCGGGCCTTGGTCAGAGAACTAAAATCCTGCATGCCACGTGGCATCCCCCACCACCAAAAAAAGAGAAGTGACCTGTACTAGAGTAATAAAGGGATGAAAACAAGTTAGATACATTTGAGAAAAATTTTTAGAGAATCAATAAGGCTGTGGTTAATTGTTGGAAGAAAGCTTTGAAACCAAAATACACTTGAAGAATGAAGTTTCACACACTACATGCTAAATAACCACCAACCAAAAACTACCAGTAATCAAAGTGCTCAAATTAAAATACATACTTTAGTGGTTTCATATCCAGTAATTCATGTCAGCACTACCTTTTTCATCTTATATTGAACACATTCCTTCTAGGATCTGAGTAGTAACTCCGATAAAAATCTCTCTAAATCAGTGGTTAAGTTTTTTGTGCAAAAAATTCTGAACAATCTGATCAAAGACCAAAAGCTGCAACTATATACAAAAAACATGCATATCTAGGCCCCAAGAACTCCTGTAAACCAACTTAACATGCTTTGCTCTTTTAGTTTTAATAACATCAAAATAATTTAGACATCATAAAAAAATCAAATGGTCAACTACTACAAACAACTTACATTAAGTTCTGATAGTGAAACTTTTAAACGTATTTACAGCACTATTTTTTGAGAAATTGGCTTATTTATGTCACCACTACCCTCTCCTCTCCTTCCCTCTTCTTTCAGTGTTACAGGACACTTTATTCCTCTACTTACTACCTTTTTCTTCAAACTATATACTCAACCCTATGTTTCTTTTTCCATTAATTCCCACTGATCCCTACCAAATTTATAAGACATAAATACTCTTACCCTTTCTTCCTCTTTTTCTCCTACCCTTTCTTTTAGCTTCTAAATTTCTGTCAGTGGTACTTACAAGTTTGGTAATTACAGAACATAATGTAAATGTCAAGTTTCCTGTGTTTTTCTATAGATGAAATATACTTCCTTTTAAACAGACAAGAACTCTATACCCAGTATTTCCCTTTTTGTCTTAGCAGCCAGGATTTTTAGAGGTTGATACAGTGCTCAAGATAACTAAAATGCCTTTCTTCTAAATGACTTATCTTTAGCCATCCTTAGTGTTTTAATGTTAGAAGCAGTTTCAAATCCTCCTGGAAATAAGCTGGATAAAAATCATAATGTTAAATCTGTGTGAAGTACACAAAATCAAATGTTAAACAGATCATCATATCAGTAGATACTCTGTTGTCTGATATTACTTAAGAAACTGAAAACCCAGGAAGGTTGAGGGGGGAATACCAGTAGATGTCAGGCAGGGAAAAGAAGCCTCCAAGGGTTGTTTTTCATGAAGGAAAAAACCAGGTATGGCCACAAGCCTTAATATCTTCATTTACCTCCTACAGTGGCCACTTCTCTGCCCTTTACCAATGTATGTTTCATTTACTCCATCCAGCCACTCTGGCTTCCTTACACTTCCTGAAACTCAACAGCACATTTCTTTCAGGTCTTTGTTCAAAGGTTACTTTGTTAAGAGAGGCCTTCCCCCACCACCCTAGGTAAAATACCACACCCATCACTCTGTCAGCAACGTTCTTTTCACAACACTTACCACTGGCTGACACTATGTGTTTATCATCTGTCTTCCCCAACTAGGATATAAGTTCATTTAGAGCACGGGCTCCCCCACCCCCACTGTTGTATACTCAGTGCCTGTAACAGACACCTGAATAAAATGGCGAAATAAAGGAAAGAAATGTGCTTGTGGAGTTTTTTGAGGGGAGAGGGAGGTCCATGAAATTCTAATAGTGTGATACTTTCCAGGATGACAGCACCGTACTTTCACACTCCCTTAATGTTGACTGAAATTTGCAAAGAGATAGGAAATTGAACCTAAGGTAGGTAGCAATTCAAAATTACCAACCCAGGCTTGAGAATTAAAAGCCCTGCTTTCTGCTAATACCCAGAGTTATTCTCCCAGAGTTTTCTCCTAACTTTTGCTTTTGGACAAAGAGCAGGTACCAAAGTATTTCCAGATACTTAAACTATACTTCTCATATGGACCGAAATCATCATCCCTGCCAGCTCTTTCTTTTCCACACCCCTGAAAGGCCCAGCCACTGAGCTGAGTGATAGGTAACAGCATTCACCTTACTGCCTAGCTGATGAAATAAGCAGTACCCACACTTGGAATCCTCCAGTGTCAAATCACCTTATTCATCTACTTAGATCTTGAACTTCAGATTAAGAGATACAGTGTAACGACTTTCATTTTAAAAAGTGAAAACAATAGAACCATTTTTATGTGTCGTCACGTTCTTTAAACTGTAATTCTACTTTAATTATGAAATCTGCACATATGTAGGAGTTGATAAGACTACAAAACGGAGTTCAGTTGAAAAGCCACATCCAAAGAGCTATTTCAGGGATTAGGTTCACTTAGCTACTTTATAAGCTGCTTTCAAATCTGGTCATTTCCCCATCTGTCCTTTCTTCGAGGGGAAATTTTCTGTACAGGATTTGGAGGGCTCGGGAAAAATTGTCAGGAGAGAGGAGTTGGGCTCTCCCAAGGTCTCTAGCAACATGCTCACTGCGGCGGCTAGAGGCAGAGCAACGGAAGTTGGAGGGACTTTGCAACAGCTGCAGGAGTTTTACTCACCACGGGGAGGGTGAGGCTACCCGACCCGGGCAGCGCCCGGCAGCCAGGCGTGCGCCGGTCCCCGCTGACCCCCGAGGCCCACCTCGCTGGACCCGGGCTGGGTCCCTCCTGTTCCCCTCCTGCCCCACACCACGGCCCGTTCAGGGCACCGCGCCGAAGAACACGACGACGGCATGAGGAACCCTCTCTTGGCCCATGCTCACCCTTAGTCAGCGTGTCCAGCACCCCTGACTTCTCCAAGTACCTCCGGAACTGCTCGCGCTTCGAGTCGGCGGCCTGAGGAGACACGGCGGGTCAGTGGCCGAAGCCCGGGGGCCAGAGCAGGAAGAAGGCGCTGGGAGTCCGGCAACGCCGCCTGCGCCTCACTACCTCAAGCCCCCCAAAACCTGCGCGCACGCCCCCACTCCCACCCGAGCCGACCAGCGGCTGGCTACCGCCCGCACGCCCCCAGCCACGCCGCGCCCCCCTCACTTTGTAATGGGCCATAGTGACAGCGGCAGCGGCGTAGCTGGCGCCGGAGACCGTGGCTGGCGGGCTCGGAGCAGCACTGCTCATGCGCGGAAGGACACGGGCGCCTGCGCACTTGGGATCCCCGGGCCGGGATTGCCGGGGTGTGGCCTGTTTTCATGGCGACCGGGACGCTCTGAATGCCCCATAGTGAGATGAGCCGAGGGAGGCTGCGTGCACCCGCCCCTCTGATTAGCGAAGCCTCGCCTCTCCTTCCTCTTCCGGTCCTCGCCAAGATATGGTTGCTTAGTAGGAGGCTAGGTTTTGGTAACTCGGGGCGAGTGTCCAGGTGGGGCCAAAGACGGGCGTGGCGTCAGGGGGTGGGGCCTGCGGAGCCCTGGAGCGCGAGGACTCACTCCAAACGCCGAGAGTGGGCGGACCCGTCTCAACTAGGACCTCACGAGCAGTGGCAGCCGGCCGGTACTGGTTTGTGGACTCTCGTCTTGAAAGAGGGCGCGCGACTGTCGAGGGCAACCCTTGCATTTCCAATGGCTGGAAGACTGCTTAGAATCGTGTGTTTGGGCTCCAGCTCTGACGTTTGGAGTCTCCTTGTTTTGTGGCCGACTTGATGTGGGTCTCCAGAGGGTGAGCAGTAATGTAATAATAATAACTAGCACTTTTTGAGCGCTTACTGTATGCCTGGCAGTGCGTTAAACACCTGTGTTTCTTATTTTAATCCTCACACCATCCCTGTAAGGTAGACACTGTTAGTAAACTGTAATGGTTAGGTGGCCAGTGTAGTAGAGCCGAGACTCGGATCCTGGCACTGAATCACGATGCTATAAACTGGTAAAAAGAAAGCGACATCTTTTTAACATTTTATTTACTAGAAGCAACATGATAATTATATCCAGGACACATCGGGTTGCAGTCCATAAGGAAACTAAGTTAAGAAGCAAGGGCAAACAAAGTTTAATCAGTGTCCAGAAATAAGATCAATAACTAAAAGAGGGAATTACATAGATCAAGAACAATCTCCGAAGGCTGTTTTCCCTTCAAGGAAAAACCTGGTTCTATTTAGCTTTCATGCTGACATAGTTTTTCCCAAAATCAGTGTTTTTCTGAAGGGAACCCACAAAAAAGTAATCCTGATTTGGTAACTGTCTTTAAACTTGAAACTGATCCTTCCCAGTTCAGAACTAGAGCCATTTTCCCTTTTTAAAATGGATTTGTAGTCGTTTGTCTAAACAGCTGGTCTTTAGAGCTGCCCTATCTATTTTTTCTGTGATCCACCATCACTAGACTACTTCTGTGATAATGTAATATGTAGAATGCCTACGCGCCAATGGATGCTCAGATCTGAAGGTCTGTGGGAGCCCGCCTTCCAATGAGGTTGTTTGTCAGTGACACTAAATGATTTGGAGTACAAGCAGTAGGGTTACTGCAGGTTCTGACCAACTCGGATTCAAAGGACAGCCCTCCCAAAGAATCAGGGGTGTCTGGAATGTCAGGTGGTTGAAAGTCTCCCTGTGAAGGAGGAAGGGTTCTGGTTGTGCTCTCCCTGAGCTGGCCCTTGAGGTTACCTTGAGGAGGTAATGCCTGGTTTTCATTTTCTGCAGAGGGACCCCGGGTAGCCCGGGGCCACTTCCGTTTCCAGGTGCAGTTAGCTGGCAGAGAGAAAGCTGTTTGGGGTGACTGTCCCACGTGGTTGTTAAGCTCTATAGCATCACCTGGACTAGAACAGTGACCTTTAAAGTAGTGATTTCTTTTGCTGTCTTTGCCATCAGTTTCTCTTTTTCCCCTCAACTGGTTACCATTAACTTCTTTTCCAGATAGTTTATGAGTGTCTTCTTTATTACTTGAGCTGATATTTTGAAGATGACCACAGGCCGTACTAAATGTGCACATCTCAGAAAGTAGAGTTTCCTGTTCATCCAAAATGCCTTTGTCATCATTTCCAATATGGTTATCAGGATCTGTCTGAAATGCAGAGGCATTTAAACTAGGATACGCTGCTGTGTGTGTTTGCTTGTCCACTAACAGACTATAATCGGGTGCAGAAGAGAGTCGTTTCAGTGAATTTGCAGATGTGTTTTGATATTTGGCAAGGTTTTGTTTTGACTTGGTACAAAATTCATTATGTTCATCCTTCAATTTATATTGTCCCCAAAGCCCTCTTTTAATCTTTTTAAAACCTAGATGGAAAATTTCTAAAACATTTAGGAAAAGTGAAACAGTCGCTATGGATTGCATGAATAATAGGAATATCGTCTTTTCTGTGGGTCTAGAGACAAAACAATCTATTGTATTTGGACATGGGTGGCCGTGACATTTAAATAGAGGCTCTAAGTGAAATCCATATAAAAGATACTGTCCAATCATGAACCCAACTTCAACCACAGAGCGAGTGAAAATGTGTATCACATAAGTGCAAAGCAAGGTTCCTCTGAGTGGAACTTTATTTACTTTCCTTTGCTCCAGCTGACACAGTTCTTCCTCCAGTCGCCTCCGATCCCCAGGTGTTTCAAGCTCTACCTCCTCCAGTTCACCTCTCAGTTGCGCCTTCTTCATCTGCCTCTCCTTCTCCAGAACTCTTAGTCGGTACAAAGCATGGCCCATGTAGACCAGGGATGGTGAAGACACAAATATCACCTGCAAAACCCAGTATCTAATGAGGGAGATAGGGAAGGCCTGATCATAGCATACATTTCTGCAGCCAGGTTGTTCTGTATTACAGATGAAGCCAGACTGCTCATCATTCCAGACATCTTCAGCTGCTACACCCAGAACAAGCATTCGAAATATGAACAGGATGGTGAGCCACATCTTTCCAATCACGGTGGAGTGGATGTGAACCTCCTCCAGAATGCCTCCAAGGAAATTCCAGTCCCCCATGTTTATTTAGTCAGTCATCTTATCTCTGAACCCCACCAAATAGGAGGCAGATACATTCTTCCATTTCTGAAGCGTGTGCTATTTCTTAAGCAAACCTGTGGCCAAAATATGAACAAAGCATCATTCTTTCAGCATGCTGGTTGCTCTCTTTTTTCCCTAGAAAGTTGTAATAATATGTTACCAAGAATATGTTTAAGATGTCGAGAATAGGAGGTCACTTATATTTAGACCTTATAATGCAGTAGGGGGACAAAAGATACCTGGAGGAGGGGTGTATGTATTCCCTATGAAGAATAGAATTATAGGAGTGCCTGGAAGAAAGGAGTCTTACTTGGCTTTTTGCTTTGTTATTTTTAAACTGAGAACTCTTAGAGAGATTCCTGAGACTACTGACTTGATCTTACAAACCTATTTATTAAAATTATTTTATATGAAAGCTGTGACCAATGTCAGTGATTTTAAAATCTCATTTATGTACAAAGAAAAAGGCATGTGTTTCACTTCATAATCCAGTAAGGTACAGCATTTTATGAAACTGAAGGAAACAGATCTGGCTCTTGCTATAAGAATTTAGATCAGTTTTTTAATCCACATTTAAATGTCTAAATTCTAGCTTCTTGCAGTTTTTGAGCATTTTCAGAAATCATTTCAGTAAAAATATTTATGAATATTTATGTAATTATTACTGTACTTTGCTATGAAAAATTGTTATGAGGATGTTATTATATATTGCTTGGATCATTGGTATGTTGGTAGTATTATAGAAATTTTCATTACAACAGTATTTGACCCTTTTAAGACATATAGCTTGCTTTGTGGAGCAAACATTAGGGCAAGTTATAAATTAGATGCTTGGATTATCGGCCAGTAGGTTCCATATTAGAGCTGATACCCTGGGATATCTAAGAGGAAATACATCTCAAAGGAAAGAAATAAATGGGGGAATATTTTCATTCATTTTCATTTAATATGTAAATGCATGTCCTGTATTCCTCATAGAAAGGGAAATGTTACACAATCAAACAACATAATGGGATATTATAGCTACAAGATATATCCATCACAAAACTCCTGTGAGCTAGGTATATTGTTTCCCCATTTTACAGATGAGGAAACTGAGGTACACCTTAAATTACCCAAGATCACACAGCTAGAACTGGTATTCAAAGATCAATGTGGTTCTAAAGTCACCTCTTAACTGTTTTACTAAACTTATTTTTCTTCTCTAAACACACTTGAAGTTTTTATGAAAGAGATATTAAGAACTCACCTATTTTCTCTTATAATTTTAATTATTTAAATTAGGTATGTCAAATAGTGAAAGTTTTGATTTTTTAAATAACAAGTTCTAGAGTCTTTAGTTCCTTTTTGAAAGCTTTATACAGTTCAAAATAGTTGCAAAAGCGTCAACCTTCTAAAATTTAGTTGTTTTCCTGAAATAGAGAAATTTTGTATTTGATTTTATTATGTTAATAGCAGTATACTCTTTGACCCAGAGCCAAAAGCACTTTAAAATATAAGCAAAGATATTATTCTTATTGCTGTTTATAATAATTATAACTTGAAACTATCAAAAATAATTATCAATACAAGACTGTATTGTACATATAAATAATAATACATCCACAGTATGGTACTATGCAACCAGTAGAGATAATAAATATATACTAATATAAATATACATTGGATATATTGTTTCAGTGACATTCGGGTTATAAAACAGAATAATATAGACCCATTATTGTACATTTATTTATATGTAGAGATGCATACAATAAAGCCTAGAAGGATATTCATCAAAATATTAACTGTGATTATCTATGGGTAGAATAATAATTGACTTAATTTTTTATAATTATATATATGTTTAATTTCTTTTACCGTGAGCACTTTACTTGACCAAAGAAAATTAAAGTTGTTTTTTTTTTTTCCTGAAAGGACAAATGCATAGTATTTTCTGAAAGAGGAAGTACTGTTATGTAGCTTCAAATCTTAGGTCCTAAAGCTTTCATAGCAAATAGCATGAATACTAATATACACAGATACAGTACCATAAAATTCAAAAGAAAAAAATATTTCAAATGACTCTTCGTTAGCTAAGACAGAGAGATTAACACAGACCTTTCTTGATTTAGGTAAATTTGAAGCAGATCACGCTTAAAAGTTATACCACAGCCATCTTCAACGTGTTTTCTGAATGGGTCCCTTTGCAGGTGTAGAGCAGATTCAGTTTGGTTCAGCGCAGTGAGTCAGCCATCAGCTAAACTCAATCTCCCTGCCTTCATTCTAACTTCTTAAACAGCGCCACCCAATGGAAGTTTTTTTAATCCAATGGCACTTTTTGCAGCAGTGTTGGAGTATTTCTGCACTGTTCAATAAGATAGCCACTATTAATACATAGCTATTGAGTACTTTCTACGAGGCTTGTGTAACAGAGACACAGTTTTTAATTTCATTTAATTTTAATTAAATGTAAACAGCTACATGTGCCTAGTGGCTACCTTATTGGGCAGCCCACAGAAAGAATATTTCCAATATTTCTAATTAATACAGCACAGTTTAGAAGACTAAAACTATGAGCCCCAAATTAAGCTGAATAAATGGTTCCTCTATTATTCAGAAATGTCAAATTTAAAATGCCAGACATATGTGTGCTTTTTTAATGGTAACTTTGCCCCCCTGGAGACCCAGAAAGATATCACAGTTTTTGGTAATGTAAACAATGTTTCTAGTACCAAAATAACCTAACTAGATAATAACTTCTTAGTCATCAGTCTTAATAATCAATGGGTCATGTCCGATTTCATAGTTAGATGAATCCTGTTTCTCTGTCTAGTTTTCTGTTATTAACAATTACTTTGCACTTTAGGTCATTAAAGATCTCCAGAGTACTGACCTGGTGGGTTGGCGATGGCAGATAAATATTTCTTCCTTGGGCTTCTTTGCCATCTAATAGCTACTTTTCAGTTTAAATTCAACCCTTTCATCAGGAAATTTATATATATATATATATATTCATACTCGTATGGTACATATTATATAAATTGTATATTATGTATAATATATAAATTATAAGTAAATAAATTTTTAAGTGCTATGCTTCATTAGTGTTACATATGAATTAAAATGGTATTTTTTATCAAAATGTAAATTTTGTCAAGATTTATAAAGCCACCTTTTGGCAAATGTATGAGGAAACAGTTACTGCCATGTAATATCAGTAAGAATATAAACGGATACAGCTATTTAAAAGGTAATTTAGGGAATTCCCTGACGTCCCTGGTTAGAGGGGCTTCCCTGGTGACTCAGCGGTAAAGAATCTGGCGGCAGTGCAGGCGATGCAGAAGACCCGGTTCCATCCCTGGGTCGGGAAGGTCCCCTGGAGGAGGGCATGGCAACCCACTCCGGGATTCTTGCCTGGAGAACCCTATGGACGCAAGACCCTGGCAGGCTACAGTCCGTAGGGCTGCAAAGAGTTGACTACAGCTGAAGCAACTTAGCACACACCAGTGGTTAGAACTCAGAACTTTTACTGTGGTGGTCCAGGTTCAGTCCTTGGTTGGGGACCTAAGATCCTGCAAGCTGTGTGGCACAGCCGAAAAAAAAAAAAGAGGTAGTTAAAATCTATCAAAAGTAGCATAACATTTCTGCTTCTGGATGCTTGAAATATCCATTCATTCAATCATTCTCAAAGACACACCATACATACTAGAGTGATCACATAGCAGTGTTGGTAATGGTACAAAATCAGCAGCAACTTAAGTGTTCAATAAGAGGAATGGTTAAGTAAACAATAGCACATCTTTTTTGTTTAGTTACTAAGTCATGTCCGACTCTTTGTGACCCCATGGACTGTCAGGAGCTCCTGTGTCCATGGGATTCTCCATCCTGGAGTGGGTTGCCATGCCCTCCTCCAGGGGATCTTCCCGACCCAGTAATCAAATGCACGTCTCCTGTGTCTCCTGCATTGCAGATGGATTCTTTACTCACTGAGCCATCTGGGAAGCCCTGTCATTTGCAACCTTTAAGTCCTGCCCCCTCTTAGACAAATTACTTGATTTTTTTTTTTCTAAGAGTTCTCATAGCCTCCTCTCTAAGATGCAGAGTAATAGCTGCCTTTCTGGGTTGTTAAAAAGATCAGCAATAATGCACGTAATGCACCCCAAACAGTGACCTGTTGACTCAGACAGTGATAGAAAGTGATCATCAGTAGTCTGACAGATGTGAAAAGTTTTTATTATCAGCAGAGTACATTATTTGTGGATTCTATCAAGCAGTCTCTATACCACATCCTCCTAAGAGCAAGTTCTTTTAAAGAATGCATACCCTTGACATGGCATGCCTAGAAAAGAGCCAGTCTCTGCTTCTCACTTCCCCTCCCTTTTCTCTCTTCCTCTTCCCCTTCATTCCCTCAGAAGAGCTCCTTCCTTAAACCGTAACCCCTTTGTAAGCAGTCTTTGAAACCGACAACTTCAGGGGTGTTCTCTTTATAAAATTGTTAGCATTTGCTGGGACTTCTCTGTTTCTTCATAGAGAGTTCTCCAGTTTTGTTTTTTCCCCCCAGATGGCCCTTTTTATTCACTGGTTTTTTTAAGGGCAAGTCAGTTCACTGGAGATAGGAAAATGTTGAAAAACACAGCAAATAAAACAAAAGCTAAATAAGCTGCAATCGCTGTCCAAAACCTTGGATCTTTCAGCAATGCCTGATCAAAGCAGCTGAACACGGTATAACCAATGGACATTCCAGCAAATCCACCTGCAATGTGAGCTGCAAAAGACACCTTGGGAGAAAAGGAGAAAATGAAAATAAGTGAAGAAAATGCTAATTGTATATTTCAGCTGCATCTCTCTTACTAGAGAACAAATACCATCCCAGTCAGAGAGTCTTAAAAGTCTGAACAGCAAGGTAGTGAGACAAAAGAGACAACAAAACTCCATCATGCAAAGCTAAAAGAAATGTCATTTCACTGACTCTTGAGTACACACAACAGCCATCCTGTCTCTCTTCTAGGCCATCATTACATTTAGGATGGTTCTGTACAAGGCCAGCCAAGAGAGGAGGAATTGAGATTAGTGAGGGTTCTTTACAGGAGCATAATCTATCCCACATAAATGGAATGTCTGAATTAAAACACAGGTAATAACATACATACAAATACTCAGAAATTACCAAATTCAGGAACCAATTTCAATAAAACTGGAAATCTTTGTCAGTTTTCTTTATATTATAAATTCATCTGGACCCATATCATTGCTGCTTTCCAATCTGCATTTTATTCTCCATAGACAGTAAAGTCCCTTCACTCCCATTTTTTGGAATAGCTACCCGTATAGCAGGTGCAGAGAACTAGAGCCAATTATCTGGGCTATGAGAGAAGTGAAAAGGATAACCCAAAAGGCCAGTTTGCTCAGGAATTTTCTTAACTTCCATATGGAAATCTTGACAGCTTTAAATCTCCGAATTGTTGCTGCCCCTATTTTGTGACCCTTCTTAGCTATTGATATCATAGGTAGACAAATTTTCATTTAAAAATTAATAAACTGAACTCACCGGAGACCCATTTGCAGGAACAAAGAACCGTCTGTAGAGAGCAAATCCCATGTCCGACGCAACTAGAAGGGAAAACAGCCTGATGAAGCCCCAGGATCTCCACAACAGCGTACCAGTTATTTTTGGTTCCCCTCTAGCAATGGTAACATTTATTGAGACTTACTCTGTGCCAGATACTGTTCTGAGAACTTTACATGTGCTACCTTTGTATCATTAATCCTCACAACAATGCCATGAAATTGGTACTGTCATTATTTATAGATGCATTGATCCAACGAGTATTTATTAATGATCTCCCATGTGCCAGCCATTATTCTAGGTGGTGGATATACTGCCAAGAAAAGATCAGACTGCCTCATGGAACTGAAAGTCTAGCTGGGGAAGGCGAATGAATAAGTAAAACATACAGTATTGTCAAAGGGTGCTTAGTGCTGTAGAGAGTACACAAAGAGGAGAATTGAGAATGCTGGGAGCAGAGTGTGGTGGTTAACCAGAGAGTCAGGAAGGATCTCAAGGAGAATACGCCATTTGATGAGGATAAGGGAGCAAGCCATGCTGACCTTTCAAAGAGCCTTCTAGGCAGACTGAAGTACAAAGTCCCTAAAGCAGGACCAGCCGTGCCTGGAGTGTGTGAGGAATACCAGAGCAGTTGATCTGATGGCATCGACGGTTTTCAAAGGATGGTTCCCTTTCCCACTGGGGATTCCCAGCTTCACTGGGAACTTACTAGAAATGAAAACTCTCAGGCCCACCCCAAACTTACTGAACCAGAAACTACAGGTACGACTCGACAGTCTGTGCTTTACCAAGACCTGCAGATGATTCTGGACTCAAGTTGGGGATGAAGTTGTAGGTGAGGCGATCAAACCATGGCAGATGGGAGATCACGTAGAGTCTTATGGACCCTCGTAAGGACTTTGACTTTTACCCTTCAAGAGCTTTTGAGCACAGAAGTGACATGTGTGACTTGGGTTTTTAATAGTTTTTATTTATTTATTGGCTGTACTGGGCCTTCATTGATGCATGAGTGGCCAGTGGGGGCTACTCTCCAGTTGCGGTGCACAGGCTTCTCATTGCAGCGGCTTCTCTTGCTGAGCACAGGCCCTAGGGTTCAAGGCTTCAGTCGTTGCAGCCCCCTAGGCGCAATCGTTGTGGCGCATGGGCTTGGTTGCTCCATGGCATGTGGGATCTTCCCTGATCAGGGATCGAACCGTGTCTCCTGCACTGGCAGGTGATTTCTTTACCACTGAGCCACCAGGGAAACCCCCTGACTCACATTTTTAAAAGATGATTCTTGCTGCTGTATAGAAAACGTACTCTAAAGAAGCAAAGACAGAAGCAGGCAGACAAACTAATTACTACTATTGCACCACCTCAAGTGAGGAAAGACCTGGTGTTTTATACATAAAGAAACCAAGACACAAAGGCTAAGTACTTGACCAAGGCCACATAGCTCTGAGGCAGTGGTGGGACTTGAACCTTAAGCCGTCTGACTGTGGGGGCTTCACTGTCACCCACCTAATCACCTCAGATTAAAAGATGAAAGCTCACACCTGGTCTTGAAGATCCCAAAAGAGCCCCCAAGATGAAAGGTTGTGGCTCTGAGCCGTGAACGATGCTGGAATTCTTGGCCTCCAGAGGAAAGGATTTTGATGTGGAGCCAGAGACGAGGCTTGACCACTTGGACTTTTGTGTAGCCAAGTTTTATTAAAGTATAGAAGAGATAGAGAAAGCTTCTCACATAGACATCAGAAGGGGGCGGGAGAGTAGTCCCTTTCCAGTGTTGCAAGTCATCTTACAGGCTTTAGCAAGCTGTTGATCATAGATAAAAGAAACACCTCAAGGCTCAGAGAGTTGTACCGAGTGCACTGTCTCCCACAACAGACATATCTACACAAGGGGAGTCATCTCTGGACCCAGATGTCTCTGGGCAAGATACTAAAGGAAAACAGACCTCCAAGCAAGATACATAGTTTTATTAACATAGCCTAAGAAAAACATTCCCATGAGTAAGATGTATTGTTTTGTTGGGCAATCAGCCCCTCAAGGTTGGGAAAAAGTAACTTTGAGGAACAGCCGATTGCAACAGAATTAAAGGAATCTCCTACCTGGCTAAAGCAGGAGCAAAGAAATGTAAAAAAATCCCTTGCCATTTATCTCCTCCTGCAGCTTGGGGACCTTGGGCCCCCTTAGTGAGACCTGCCTACCCATTAACCCTTTCATAATTACCATCAGGAATACAGAAGACAGCCCAAGAAAGGAAGTGATTCCACAGTCAATAAAGGAACAGTAAAAGCCAGAACTTAGACATTCCTTAAATAAGTCATGTTGGTGATGCTAAAGGACCTTCCAGGCTTCTTGGGTTAGAAGAAATCTGCCCTACATGTGTGCTTGGAAACATCTCCTGCAACTGTCACATTCCACACCCGTCCCCCAGTACCCTATGCTCTACTTAGTGAGTGTCCTAGGAGACCGAAAGACCTAGTCCTTGCCTTTGGGAAAATAGCATCAGGACCATGTGTTCTGGACTAGCTTCCCTTTCAATATAATATTGACTCTGAAGTCACTGGGTAGGAATTGAGGTCGAGGAAGTACTCAATATTAATTTAATTGTAAATGACTATCACACCAAATGCTATAAATATGGCTATTATTGTATTTAAGTCATTTGCATTTCCTGATGGAGTGTAAATAACAGTGCTAGGAAAGCATAAGAAAACCACCACAAGGAAGACTTCCTAGAAACAGTTACTGTGGTCTAGACTTTCACAGTAGGAGGCCTCCTTTCAGAAACTCTGTAACTCTTAGCGTGTCAGTTTCTCCATTCAGTTTGTTTCCTGCCTTCTGACTTGTATCTGCCTGGCCCTTTCTGCTTCCAAGGGGAGTTTACTTCTAAACTGCTGCAGTCTCTAAACTGAGACCTGTCTTCCCACCTGAAGAGAAGCCCTTATTCCAATAAACCAAATCATTATCTTCAGTAAAACCTAACACTCATTTTAAGGGAGTTGCCTTTATATGGGTTTTTTGAAGGATGAAAATCGAGATGTCCTGAACTTTTTCCAGGGAAGCTCAGTTGCTTTGTTAGAAAACACATTTAAAAACTGGTGCTCAATGAAGGAAGTCCTTAAGGCCAACTGTCCTTCACAATTAAGAATAGTATTTACCATTTAAAAAAAACTATAAATTTTCCCAAGGAAGCGTGTTTAAAATTAAAATGTATTTGTGTTTCAGTAATCTGGAGTTTGTTGTCTGCATGCATGCTCAGTTGTGTCTGACTCTTTGGGACCCCATGTTCTGTAACCTGCCAGGCTCCTCTGTCCATGGAATTTTCCAGGCAAGAATGCTGGAGCAGATTGCTCTTTCCTTCTCCAAGGGATCTTCCCAACCCAGGGATCCAACCCACATCTTGCATCTCCTGCATTGGCAGACAGGTTCTTTACAGCTGAGCCACCAGGGAAACCCCAACCAGGCCAAAGAACTTTTAGAAAAAATGGCATGTGAGGAAGGTTGATGTTAGCTGTCCTACCTGTGTTTTGGGGTTTTTTTTTTTTCCATTTATTTTTATTAGTTGGAGGCTAATTACTTTACACCATTGTAGTGGTTTTTGTCATACATTGAAATGAATTAGCCATGGATTTACAAGTATTCCCCATCCCGGTCCCCCCTCCCTACCTGTGTTTGTAGGATATAATAAAACCACATCATTCAGTGACTGTATTACTTACCTCAAGAATGACAGAATGTTACATAAACTGTTTTTGGAGATAACTTTGTGCATGAAGAAACGGTTTTTACTGCACCATTAAAGAGTATTAGAGAATTAAAATCATTTCCCCACTGAGAGTTTGAGGCTTATTTTACAAAAGTCATTATTTGAAAGAAACAGATCAACTGAAAACCCAGGTAACTTGTGTAAGAATATTTCTCTGTCTAAGAGCCTGTTCTTGGTTCTGGTTGAGACCCTTAACAACTCAGGTAGCCCAGCCCTCACAGCGACTCCTCTTAACTAACTCCCAGACACCTGCCCTCCTTCCTGTGCTGACTACTCCTCTTTTTAATTTCTCAGAAATATCTTTGGAGAAAAACATATACGCTATGGTATAAACTACAGACAAGTCCCTTCTTTTCTATCTGGGTGAAATACTGTTTTATAATTATACCATTCATAAACTAGACCTAGTCTCTTTTTGGAACACTTGATATCAATTTGCAGGATCATTTTTTTCCTACTATGTGGACAGCCAAAATTGCATGTGCTTGTGCTAAGTCTCTTCAGTCATGTCAGGCTCTTTGCAACCCATGGACCGTAGCCCACCAGGCTCCTCTGTCCATGGGATTCTCCAGGCAAGAATACTAGAGTGGGTCATGCCCTCCTCCAGGGGATCTTCCCAACCCAGGGATCGAACCCACATCTCTTACGTTGCCTGCACTGTCAGGCAGGTTCTTTACCACTAGCGCCACCTAGGAAGCCCTGACAGCCAAAAGTAGCCTTTATCAAATGTCACTTCTGTCTTTGTCTTCAAGTCTGAGCCTTAAGGTCAGCCTTCTCCCCACACCCTCTGTGCAGATAGAGCTGCAGCAGGAGCAGGCTGGGAAATAGAAGTTACAAGCCCTGCCTTTGCTCTTGTTTGCTTCTGCTCTGTATGGCCTGCCATCATCCAAAATCCTGACTTTCAGACCCAGCTAAAATTCCACCTCTTCTCCAGAATGAGGCTTCCTAAGCTCCTTGAGCATGTCGTTCCCCGCTACCATTCTTGAGATTTCCAAAGCCACGTCTGTCATCCCCGATTCCCTGACCCCTCTCTTCCTCCACCTCTGCTCAGGTCTTCAGTCCTCAGCCACCGCTCCATGCTTACATCCTAGATAAGTTCTGTTTTTAATCTGAAAATGTAGAAATTGAAGAAGAAAGTGGATAACCTGAATAGCTTTTAAGTTTTCCCTTTCAAACAAAATCATATACATAATCTAGTTTATGAATGAGAAAAATCCAGTGTCTAAAAAATAAATGACAGGGACTTCTCTGGTAGTCCAGTGGGTGAGAATCTGCCTCCCAATGCAGAGGATGTGGGATCCCTGGTAGGAGAATGAAGATCCCGCATGCCACAGGGCAGCTGAGCCCACACACCGCAACTAGAGAAGCCCTCACACCACAATGAAGAGCCCACACAGGCAGAAATAAATAGGGCTTCCCTGGTAGCTCAGTGGTAAAGAATCCACCTGCCAATGTAAGAGACACGGGTTTGATCCCTGGCCTGGGAAGATCCCACGTGCCATGGAGCAACTAAGGCCATTCACCACCACTATTAAGCCTGTACTCTGGAGCCTTAGAACCTCAGCTACTGAAGCCCGCACATCCTAGAGCTGCTGCTCCTCAACAAGAAAAGCCACTGGAATGAGAAGCCCAAGCGCTATAACTAGAGAGTAGCCCCCACCCCTACAACTGGAGAGAAGCCCACGCGGCAACAGAGACCCAGCACAACCAAAACAAGTAAAGTTGGATAATTAATTTGTTTAATTTAATAAAAAAATAAATGACACAGAAAGTAACACAATGTAAAGCAACTATACCCCAATAAAAATTAATAAAAAATAAAAACATAAGTGATGGTATTGTGGATGAAGTGGAGTACCTCGAGCCCTACACTATTAACTCCCCACACCCCAGAAACAGGCACCTCTAAGAACCACCCACCAGGGCCTGTGAAAATTCCACTCCTATCTTTCTACTTCAGGCTAGTAGCCGGACCACTGTTTCAGACTCTGGGCTAACGGTCATCCTACACGTCCATGAGGACGTGTAGGATGTGTTTGGGAAATATGAGAAGGCCTTCTGAAGGTTGAACCCATAAACTTGAAGATGTGAAATATTCACAAAACACACTTACTTATAAGAACAATGATGAGTAGTCTGACAACTCCAAAAGCAGGAATCATTTCTTTAAAATTCTTGCAAAGAGATAAATGACAGTAATAATAACATAAGTTATCTATTGGCAAAGAAAATCTCAACTGTACGCTCCTCCCATCTGCTTTTTCATTTAAAATAGTGTGTCAGATGTTTGCCAATCAAAGCACCGGTGTTAACAGTTGTTTTCAAATGTATTTGGGAAGTACAATGCCAATATACTTTGGAGTGAAAATGAAACATGATATTCCTTGATATAGCAAGAAATACTCTATAAGTAATAAAAAATCAACTCTTAATATGTCACAAATAGTTAATAGATGCTGTCAAACTAAATCTGGTGAAAATATTTCCAAGTTTTTGGTTTAATATTCATTTGATACAGCTTTACCCTCTTTCTAAGTAGGAGTTAGCAAAGACAGCTAAAATTTGAGCATTACCTTGATTTTTTTTAAGATAATTTTTTAAAAATATAATACACTGGTCCAAAAATACTCAGTTTGATTTTAGTTTCGAAAAGCCTCAGACCAACTTGCATTACCCTCGTGTGTTACCAGTGGACCAAGCAGACTCAGAAAGACACCACCACTTCAACCCAAATTACCTGTCCCTTCCCTTTAAAGTTATTAGCTCTCTTCCCAGAGAGAGATGCTAAAATATCTGTGTTAATTAAAAATCAATTATTTTCAAACTGTTGTGACCAAGACTTACAGTAACAATTTACTTAACAATCCAGCACACACATAAACAGTACTTACTCTTTATTACACATGATGCATACTGAAATTTTTGTGTAAAAGGATTTTCACAATCCCTTCAACTGAGTTCACAACCACTAATGTGATGCAACCCAAAGTTTGAAAAACACTTTTCTGAATGACTTATAGTCTTGGAACAGTTTTTTAATTGCTTCAAATTTTTCCTCTTAGAGTATTTTTAAGGCACACCTACATGGTTAAAGGGTTGATTTAATCAGGATTTTATCCTGTTTTAAAAAGTGATTAGCATCTCACATACTATATCATGGTTGTGTAAAATGGTATGCCAACTTTGGAGGCATTTATATATAAAAATGTAAAGCCTTCACCCAGTAAATCCACTTCTAGGAATTTGCCTATAAAAGAATCACACAAATACAAAAAGACAGGTGAAAGAACACTCCTGACAGCATTATTTTGAAATGTAAAAAGCTGTAATCACCCTGAATCTTTTCTTTCAATTAAAAATTGAACAAGTACGACTAGTATATAGAAGGTGCTGTGGAGCAGTTGAAAAGACTGAGGTGGATTTCTGTGTCCTACTCAAGTATCCTATGAGTAGATAGGATACTTTATGTTAAGATGCAGAATAATGTAAGGGTAGTTCCATTTTTGTAGTGTTACTATTGGTAGAATTTTGAATACATACAGAAAACATCTGAACGGATGTATATCAGACTGGTAACAAGATACTAAACTGGGGACTTTGACTTTTCTGTTTTTCAATTTTGAACTTTATTTAGTATTTATCACTTTTGAGATCAGAGATGAAAGGAAAACTCTCGTGGTCAGATGGAAGATGTGTGCTTAGTAAATATTGATAAATAAGATTCCCTGAACCAAGTACCAGTAATTATTTAAAATTTTTCCTTCAGGTCCATAGATTGTTTCCCAAAATTCTTACCACTAGAACATTCATAAAATAGCCTCCCATCAGAGCATAGACTCCTCCTGAAGCACCCACAAGGGATTTGAGTGGGTCAAAGATGGAGCTGGCAAGGGATCCTAAAGAAATGAAACACAAAGAATTTCAGACATGACTATAAGAATCATGAAGGATAAATCTTTCTAATCTAAGGTAAAAGTTGGGGAAGCTTGGGCCATTATATTAACAAACAACAAATTCACTTTGTTCCTTCTGTACTAGAAAAGTATAGCCATGTGGTCTCTCTCTATTATTATGAAACATTAAATGTTCAATATGAAGACAATATAACAGTGACAAAAACAAGTACTCTGAAGCCAAAATTAGCAACTATGTGACTTCAGCAAGTTTTTTAATGTCTCTGTGCCTTTGTTTCCCTTTCTATAAAAATGGAGGTGTTAAATAAAACTAACTTCAGTGAGTTGTCAGGGGAAATAAACGAGTTTACATGTACATCATGATTAGAATACTCCCTGACATGTTATATACTTGTTAGCTGTTGTTTCAAAATATCCTACACGTTTAACCAAAACTATCAAAACACCTGAGACATTCCAACATTTTACTATCTATGGGCTAGCTTTCTCATGGAGTCAAGATGTAGTCTCAGAATCCTTCTTCATATACCATTCAATCAGTTTCACCAAGCAAGATGAAATTCTGTTTGCTAATTCAATCTTACCTTGTCTGAACCAAAATAAGGCTTTAAGACCACCTTACGTGAACTCTGAAGTGTTCTCTATACTGCTTAATTCTGTCATTCCCTTGCCTTCAAGTCCCTCCTTCATTTTTTAAGATACAGTACAATTCAGTACCTACTTTAGGACTGCCCTAGTGGTCCAGTGGTTAAGAATCTGCCAGCTAGTGCAGGGACAGAGGTTCGATTCCTGGTCCTGGAAGAGCCCACATGCCATAAGACCACACCCTGGAGCTCATGCTCTGCAACGAGAGTTGCCACTGCAATGAGAAGCCAGCTACAGAGCACCCCCACTCCCCGCTCCCCACAACTAGAGAAAGCCCAGCAACAAAGACCCAGTGCAGCTGAAAAGAAATAATTTTTTTAAAGTTCTCATTAAAAAGTAGCTACTTAATGCAAAAAAGGGGAAGTGTCTGACCTTAGACATCACAAATGGGTGATCAAACAGTTATCAAAAAATGCAGACTCTAATAATTACTGTGACTTTTTTTTTAATCTGATAAATTTGCTATGGAAGCACTTAGGAAAGAATGACTTTCTGAGCAGAAAGGTGGAGGCCCTGCTACTCTGAGAGGAGGGAGACAGCTTTTTGTTTTTTTGATTTATTTATTTATTATAATTGGAGGCTGATTACTTTACAATATTGTGGTGGGTTTTGCCATACATTGACATCAATCAACCCCAGCTGGATTGTCCCAGCGCACCAGCTTTGAGTGCCCTGTTTCATGGATCGAACTTAGACTGGTGATCTAGTTCATACATGGTAATATACATGTTTCAATGCTATTCTCGCAAATCATCCCACCCTCGCCTTCTCCCACAGAGTCCAAAAGTCTGTTCTTTATATCTGTGTCTCTTTTGCTCTCTCACATATAGGGTCATTGTTACCATCTTTCTAAATTCCATATATATGCATTAATATACTGTATTGATGTTTTTCTTTCTGACTTACTACACTCTATAATAGGCTCCTGTTTCATCCACCTCTTTAGAACTGACTCAAAGCATTCTTTGTAATAGCTGAGTAATATTCCATTGGGTATATGTACAACAACTTTCTTATCCATTCGCCTGCCGATGGACTTCTAAGTTGCTTCCATGTCCTAGTTATTGTAAACAGTGCTGCAGTGAACATTGGGGTACACATGGGGAGACAGCATTTTGATTAAATTCTGAAGACACTTTAAGATTTGGACAGGAAAAAAAGGGGGAAGAAGGCCAGGATTTAGGGATCTGGAAAAGCAAAGACAGAAACAAAGTTATATGGGTTACTAAAGATCCATGAGAAGCAGTCGGTTAGGGTTAAAGCAGTGGTTCTCAAATGTTAACCTACAAGCTAGAGCTGGGGTAGTTGTATCTTAGTTATGAGAAATTTATTTTTAAAATATAGATGTCCACTTCTGGCCACAATGAAGTAACAGGACAAGATTTTTCCTCCTGCTTGAAAGCAATGTACAAAATATATGAATTGGTCTTAAAGATACTGGACATCAGATAACAAGGGACAATGAACCCTAAGAAACAAGAAATAAATGAGTTGACTAATTGCCCAGCTTACTGCCTTGAGAGAAACTGCAGGTAGCTGTGCATGAAGGGGAAACCTAGGCAGATAACAGTAAACTTCAGGTTGATGAGATAGTCTAGAGTCTAGGTCTATATAGAGCTCAGCAGCTAGAGTTCAGACTCCTTCCAAGTAACTTCACTGAGTTACAGAACAAATCTAAAGAATACTTACATGAATACAATAATACCCACCATCCAAAGATAAAATGTCTAGCATCCAAACAAAAACTCAAGACATGCAAAGAAGCATGAAATTGTGACCCATACTGAAGAGGGAAAAATCAATTAAAACCTACCAAAACTAAAAAAAAAAAAAAACCTAAAACTTATTTATGATCTAGCAATCCCACCCAGAGGGGACTATAACTTGAAAAGATACACGCACCGCAGTGTTCATTGCAGTACTAATTACAATAGCCAAGGCATGGAAGCAACCTAAATATCCATTGACAGATGAATGGATAAATAAGATGTGGTATACATACACAAGGGAATGTTGTTTAGTCGCTAAGTCATGTCTGACTCTTGCGACCCCTGGACTGTAGCCCTCCAGGCTCCTCTGTCCAAGGGATTTCTCAGGCAAGAATACTGGAGTCAGTTGCTATTTCCTTCTCCAGGGGATCTTCCTGACCCAGGGATTGAACCCACATTTCTTACATTGCAGGCAGATTCTTTGCACCAAGCCATCAGGGAAGCCTCACAATGGAATATTGGTCAGTCATAAAAAAGAGTGAAATAATACCATTTGCAGCAACACAGGTGGATGCAGAGATTATCATACTAAATGAAGTAAGCTATACAGAGAAAGAGAAGTATATGATATTGTCTATATGTGGAATCTGTAAAGAATGCTACAAATGAACTTATTTGTAAAACAAATAGGCTCACAGGCATAGAAAACAAACTTACGGTTACCAAAAGGGAAGGTGGAAGATAAATTAGCAGTCTGGGATTAATATATACAACTATTATATATAAAATAGATAACCAACAAGGACCTACTGTATAAAACAGGAAACTATACTCAATATCTAGTAGTAACCTATAAGGGAAAAGAATATGAAAAAGAATGTGTGTGTGTGTGTGTGTGTGCAACTGAATCACTTCTGTACTCCTAAAACTAACATAACATTTTAAATCAACTATATTTTAATTTAAAAAAACTGACACAGGTGTAAGATTTAGCAAATAAGGGCAATAAATAATTATTTCAAATATAGTCAATGTGTTCAAAAGTTAAATAGCAATAAAACAGGCTCAAATCAAATTTCTAAAGATGAAAAGTACAACATCTAAGATGAAATAATAAAGTAGTTGAGTTGATTGACCGATTAGACATTGCAAAAGAAAAGCTTAGTGGACATGAAGATGGGGCAATAAAACTGTCCAAAATAAAACACACAGGGGCTTCCCTGGCAGTCCAGTGATTAAGACTCACCACTTCCACTCCAGGAGACACAGGTTCAATCCCTAGTCAGGGAACTAAGATCCCCCATGCCGTGGGGTTAAAAAAAAAAATAATATTTTTTTAAATACATACAGCATCAATGAGCTACAGGTCAATTTCAAGCAGCCTCATAATATCTATAATAATAAGTGCATAATTGGAGTCCTCAGAAAAGAAGAATGAAGGCAGATAAAAATTACTTGAAGAAATAATAGCCAAGTTTTTTCCAAAGTTTTATGAAAACTATAAACGCACAGATCCAAGAACCTCAACAAACCCGACACAGGAATCATGAAGAAAACTACAAGGCATAACAAAATCACATCTTCAAAACAGTGACAGTCTTAACAGTATCTAGAATAAAAAGACATGCTTCATACTGAGAAACAAAAATAAGGATGACAAGAGATTTATCATCAGAAACAATGCAAATGAGAACAACAGTAGAGCACCATTTTAAAGTAAAGAAAGGAAAATACTGTCAAGCTAGGACTCCAAACCTCAAAATATATTACAAAAATGAAGGCAAAAGACAGATTTTCAGACATACAGAGGCTGAAATAATTGATGACTAGCATTTCCATGCTATAAGAAATGTTAAAGGAAATCTTCAGGAAGAAGGAAAAAGATGTTAGATGAAAAAATAAAGCTACACAAAGGATAAGGAAGCATTAGAAATGGTAAGAACATGGGCAAATATACAAGATTTTTTTATTACTTAAATCTCTTTACAAGTTCATTGTTTAACAGTTAAACTATTGGACTACTAGAAATATTAAGTGAATTTATCAAGCTTAGAGGGTACAAGATCAATAACAAAAAAATCAACTGTATTTCTGTGTAATAGCAGTGAAAATCAGGAATAGAAATTTTAAAAATAGTACCATTTACAGTATATCAGAAATATGAAATGTAGAAATAAATATGACCCCAAAAATGAGCAAGCCCTAAATACTGAAAGCTATAGAAGATGCTAAAAGGAATTCTGAAAGACCTAAATAAACAGAAGTCCATACTTAGTTCGTGAGTTGGAGGACTCTGATATTGTTAAAATGTCAATTATCCACCAGTTGATCTAAGGATACATTGCAATCCTAAATCAAAATCCCAGTAGACAATCTTACAGAAATTAACAAACTGATTCTCAAGTTTACATGGAAATGCAGAGGACCTAAAATAACCAAAACAACTTGAAAAAGAGCAAAGTTGGAGCACTGAGGTGTCCCAATTTCAAAACTTAATAGAAAACTACTTAATCAAGATAGTATGGAATTGATGTAAAGATATACAAATATATGAGGGAAACACAACAGAAAGTCCAGAAATAAACCCACACATATATATGGACAACTGATTTGGACAAGAGGCAAAAG